ACTATAAACTTAGGTCAAAACTTACTTTCGTATACACATGTGAATGTCAAAGAAACTACGCGCCTTAATGGAAAGCGACGATGTCACGACATGCTGTACCACCCATAGTAACGCCTATACATTGCCAGATTTAAGGATTAATAATCAGTGATATAAGAGGCGTACATCCTATCACAAAGTTCCTTGGCTATCTTCAACCCTATTGTTTGAACTATGAATTATGTACAAAATTTTACTTCTCACCAAAACTATTTAAAAATGACAAATAAATATGAACAACAGATTCTTTTCCAACTATTCTACTGCTGGCAGCAGTTAGGCTATACAGCTATACACGACAAAAATGTGGACAGGTGCAGAAGGAACTCTAAGACTTATGGAGCGGCTAAAGACCAGAAGATAGTCTGTCAGATATGACTTCAGTTAATGAAACTGCTTAGTAGATGGTTTGGTTTAGTTCAGGCCGTGTTCAAGCATGAAAGCTTATCCAGAAATCCAGCATAATAATAATTAGTGCATGTCTTCACATTATGTAACTTATTATCCTGATTTATACTGTTTTTTTATCTCAAAAGTCCCTTAATTTTCATTACATTTTTAATGAAATGTTAACTACGTTGGAACTTACTTCTGTATTCCATCTTTACGTTAAGATTTAATACAGATATGAAATCAAATGAACTACCTGATGACAATATGATATAGAGTTTTTCAACAAGGTTTCTATGCTATAGAAATGTAACTGCATTGTTATTGCATTTTTTTTATTTTAAGCAAAACAAGATGGTCCATGCTGTTTTTTATACAATTAAATTAATTTTAAAAAAAGTCAATAAAATGGTATTTATTCGGCTGACACTTAAAAACACGTCGTGGCAAATCATATGCGTAATAATTAACCCGGCTTATCTATGTCTAAGATTAAAAAACTATAATAACTGAATTACTGAAATCAAAGCCTATTATTAATATATTTCTAAATTCACAAAAGCAATAAATACAACATGTTTATCTGTCTGTGTGCACAAAGATGACCTGTCTAGATGGCATTGGCACAATGTATCCACGCCACGCTATAAAGCTATTTGCCCGGTTTTATTACAATTGCCTACTACTATACAAACATTTACCAGGCATTGTCTGCGTACAAACTACCTACCGTACCTTATTGCCCATAAAATATAGTGATTTATCCCACACATGCGTACTAGGTATTATATTTTATTTCTAACACTTATTGTTAAAAATCTTATTATTATTTATTCAAAGTAACTAAACACTTTTGTATGAGCCAGCGTACTAGGTGATATATTTTATTAGAGTGTGGTATTATATTTTTATGTGTTATTTTTATTTGGATTATTTTTTCTAACACTATTGTTAAAATTCTTATTTTTTTTTTTAAGGTAAATTAGCGACTTTGTATGAGACAACAACAAGAGAATGAAACGCGAAATACCAAGTCACTTATCCGGTGATTAACACACTGGGCAAGTTTCAGTTGTGTGAAGATATAAATGATGATGAAGATAACTTAATGGGTTGTTTTGGTGTAGTAGTGGTATGCAATGGCATACCACGGGTCCATGGTATAGCAATCCCCCAGGTAAAAGCCTCGAGAAAAATCTAACATGTAACATCTATTACATAATAGGTATACCAAGAATTACAACGAGCAATTTAGATAAAGGAAGGGTTCTGTGCGATAACATTTGACAACCTCAGATGGTACAGTTACGCCACTGGTGGTAAAGTACACTAGCTAGCCGATACAATGAGATATAATGCATTGTTGTCATAAACAGAGCAATATAAAATATAATATCTACATTCAAAAAGCCTTTCCATGTAACGTAACATTTCTGCTGCGTAACGTTTTCATGAGTGATCATTTATTCTTTTTGTATTTACTCGATACATCAATAGCTGGCTTCCAGCTGTAAAATTTAAAAATCCATTGATATTTGAACTTACAAAATAATGCGTCCTCCTCATTGTTCCGTCCGTAACACTTTAAAAAGGTCAAAATATACATTTTTTTATACTATCATAGTGACAATCAAGCGTACGGCCCATCTAATGGTAAACGATAACCGGATGGACGGCTAAATCACCAGAGGGTGTCATGTGCGCATTGCCGATTCAGAAATCTTCTAGAATAACCCCATGCCATAATCTCTAAAGAAAAAGGCAGGTAGTTAGCGCCACTGGGTTAATAGTAAATCGATGTAGTATGTAGGTATATAAAACTATACGAAATCATTATGTGCCTACAATATACAAACATAAAACATCGTGATGAAATAATATAAAACATTGATGTCTCAACGAACCTTGTTTTGTAGTAGATAATTAGATTAGATATGATGGGGTTGACATGTCTTGTGATGACAACCCAAATTAAACGAAGAAATGTAATATATTTTTATATTTTATTTTTGTGTATATCGAATGGTAAACAAACAGATCAATAAATGATAAGAGGTAAACGTCGTCTATGAACAATATACTACACATTATGGTAGAAGCTACCATACAACGTAGTGGTATCGAGACCACTACGTTGTCATTCCGGAGGACTATGATGTCGTGCTTCTTATCCTGTAATGTCACTGTCTTATTTCAAGCCCTCTAGAAACAAAGCTTACTGCATAACGGCTAAAGATACATAAAAATACAGATAACTTTTTACAAAGTGTGTAAACACGGAAAAGGTTGCATCAAACTTGTCGAGAATGTTTGCAAAATATTCCCAGTGCATAAAAAACAGATTATATACCAAAACATGATGCTGCAACTACATTTTACAATGTGATTGTAAGCAATACTTTAATTATTCCAGCTAGCTCCCCGTGTCGAATGACCGGCTCCACAGGCAGGGCTGCAGCCGCCGACAAAGAGGCCACAATGGCCGATTGAATGACAATACTCCGCTACGGTCCACTGTGTCGTTACGCTGCCTCCCTGTTACTACGGGAGATAGCATCACCACATTAATTTATATTCACTCTGACCTAGTTACTTTGATGTTTTTAGATTGTCCACCATGACCACAAATCAGACACGGTACGTTCTAACATGTGAGCTAATACAACCTAGGGGCAAAGTGATTTTTAGTAATTCCCATTACTACCCATTGTACCATTATACCAATATCCTTTAGCTAGGAATATACTCCTTTAGGTCAACCTCCGCACTTGTCTCTCTTGCAACCATCGCAATTAATTTAATTGAATTCTCTATAATAAGCTGACTGACTTCATCCTCACTTTACTCGTAACTTTATTCGTAAGCGTATACTGTCAATGCAAACAATGCACCATTCCATATTTATCCAAAGAATAGCTCTAAATTCGTTACATAGTTATTCGTCGTTACCACAGTAAATGGTTAAAAAAATATAACTCTAAATTACAGATCTCATAAGGGAACAGCTATGAATAAGTACAACCGTATTAATGAATCTACACGATAGATAAAACAATAATTTATACTATAATAATTTTCTTTAGTAAATATAGGTCGTATATCTGTAATCAAAGCATTCTTCTTGCATTATCTACAGGAAAACCTGTTATTTTCGTATTTATTACATTATGTCACAACACTTGTAAACACGAGTTAAACAAATAATATGATAGAATTCTTGACTCGGATACGTGGTTCATTACTCAAATATAATAATTGTCTCTAATAACTATGTAATATCTCGTTATTTACTCTCTTTATATCCATATCATCTTTCACACAGTCCATCCATCTCTTTTTCGGCTTTCCTCTGCCGCTATTCAAATGTAAATCTTTCTATTCAATCAATGGCAAAATCAGTCCACGTTTAACCAAGATATACACAAAAAACATTGTTGTCAAATTGAGAACCGCGTCATATTTCGAGTTTTTATGGGTATATAAACTTCAATTAACATACGCGTATTGAGCGAAAGTGTACCTATTCAATTGGCATTGTACGAGTATATGTATTCTTTACGATCTGTCTTATTATGTTCATGCACCAAGGAACGCAGTAAGCCACAATGAAACATTTACATCGTACATATTACCTACCACCCATAACGCTGAGAAGTTATGTCCTCTTCTTACCCTTTGTTTATTATTGATGTTTCTGAGAATACAATTAATACCTACGTTGTACCTTATATTAATATCTACTATTAAATGGGAGGGGGGAAGGGGATTGTTAGGAATGAGGAGGAATAAGGGGGGTACAATGGGTGCTAGCAATGTACCATGTCAAGTTGACCTCCACGCTCCTGGAAACTTTGAACGTTGAAAATGTCACGATGGGCTAACTGACCTAACATTCATCTTATAATCCTCCACTGGTGCATCAAATGCATTAAAAAACATACTAGTATGTAGGAATAAGAATGTGCATGTCATTATAAATTTCCTATAACGTCGGGACATCGTAAAAGACTAGTAAACTAAAGAACAATATTGCAACAAAATAGTTCAAAATAAAATCCAATACCGATGGTCAGATTGGTAATAAGAGGTTAATCATCTTCTTTTGGAAAAGATCCGTGCACTGCCGTACCAGATTTGAGTAATTATTATAAGTAAATATCTACCCACATTATGTAAGGATCAGATGGTAGGATAATTTTAGATTACTATTAAATTGATGCACTTATACATTATAAATTTATTGATATATTTTAAAAATTAATTACACCTACTAAAATACTATTTAAATTTCATTTTATTATAATTCAACTGTACATACGTACCTAGTATTAGATTTTGTTTTGTTTTTTATTTTGCAATTTATCATCGGAAATTTTAATTTTTTAAATAACGTTTATTTGAAAGGATTATATTATATCGTATTTTTATACAGTATATGATTATAATATTTTTGTTAAGTTTTAAGGATATGCTTCAAACAGCGTCTTTTCAAAACACGACAGCTACTTAAAATTATTATACAATTGTAAAATAAAAATAATATCGAAAAATAATAATATTTTAACACTCACCGTTACTAGATGGTGCAACAGGATCTATCTCACATGCACTTAAGTCACTGCTTTCCACAAAATTGAAGACACGATCTTAAAAAAACAGGTCAGAATAAGCAGACAACAAAAGTCTAAGCGTGAAACTTAAACCGCTAAAAAGTGCATGATATTCTTTAATATAATTGCAACAACGGGACGATTTAACGCTAATCTATGTGAGAACTACGTAAAGTTTTTGACGTTTCAACTTGTTAGAAGGACGAACGCAACGAAACGGTCGACACCGGTCCGAGCCAACGCGCGACTATCTCGACTCTCGGAGTCGGCATTCTCAACTCAATTCAGTCCTCGAGCTTTCGTTCATACGCTAACATTCGAGAGATACCCATCTCGCTCTTGCAATTGGTCACCTGCCGGATAAAAAATATGAGAAGTCTCCGATTTCGGCGAAATATGAACCAGGGTCCAAACCAAATATTGTACGAAGACAGGTAAAACAATATAAGTGTGTACTTAATCCAGATTTCAAATATTCCTCTCAGTCTCACGGGACGGTTGAACGAATGATATTTATTCACGCCTCAGACTATAATTTAGATATATTATCTATCATTGAAGTACTCGTAAATTGCAGCATCGCTGAGAGACATGATTACCCACGTTCAGAGCCCAGACGTAAACATACACGTTACAACGTTTGGTGAACTGTTAATACGATGTTTAAACAATGAAAACATTTTGGTTGCCTGCGTATAATCACTGATGCATACTGACCCCCTGTGCATAATGTATCCGAATCAATTATCCGTTGTTTTCACACGGCGAGATAACGCTTCGTACAATCCTATGTCAATATTTAAAAATACAACATGAAGAAGCCTGTTTTATTTAACTAAATATTTATCAAGCCTCAATAAATTCGTTGTAGGTATATCGGTAGGTACCTACAATTTTATATATATACATGACAGTATAGCTTACGCAGTCATATTTATATGAATCATGTTATCATCATTTACTATTAATAATATATATTTCCATTATAAAGAAAGCAAATTGTGCTAAAACTGTTCGAACACAACTGAATAGATTCCTGTCTCCTACAAATTGCTATAAAGAACGAAACTAGGGGGCTGAAGTATACTCGACTGGCACTGAATTGATATACCCGTATTAATCGCAAGTACCTATTTAATGATCTAAAGTGTTGTTCAATGAATCTGGAATATCCTGGTTTAGTGGATTGCACAGGCCACGCGCATTATTTAGATCCGTAGGTGTGTAGTATCTTTACGTGATATATTCATACGATTTCTAATCAATAAATAGGTATACAGCAATTGTAACAAACCGTTTAGATATGCCAAGAAAGAGAATAATCAACTAGATGACTGCGAACAGGGATTAATGGAAAGACATATTACGCTGACCGCAAATAAATGGAATAAGGAAGAAGCAGATGATTGTAACAGTACTAAAAGCTAAAAACATAAGTCTTATTTTGCCATTATTGTCTAAATAGTTAAAAATGATGAATTTGCTTTGTTAATCCAAAATATTTAATAGTATCTTTTTTCGTTCAAATGCGTTCAACGGTTTAAGTGTGTAAGAAATGTCTAAATGCTGGAGGAACGAGTTTTACAGTAATGGATGCAAGTGGCTTCATTTCTAATAATATACCACGTATGGTCGACCTCCACGTTGTCCCCCTTGGAAGCCAATGTTGTTAATTTCACCCTGACTTCATGCTCATCCTATCTTCAAACAGTGCTCAGCAAGCGTATAAGCCATGTATTCAATTTAAAATTTATTTAAAATATATCATTATATGTCTAAATATATATATATTTAGATTTATTATAATATATAAGTCTTCTAATTATCATCATACCTACATAAGACGAACAATAAACCTTCACTTCACAACAAGTTGATAAAAGATAAAACTTTAATTATTATGTTAAGACAAGCCTCTTTATAATTATATATATGCTATGATAAAGCGAATGCTTGCGTTTATTTGTTGAAAAACAACTAGGTATTTACGGCGGTACAGCCAGTTAAGAACTTTATTTTATATTAATGCATGATTTCAACACGCGATCAAAAAAGAAATGAAAGTGGGGTTTCCAAATATCACGCACATCAATATTCGTGACCTTCAGAAATCACACCCTTTGGCAAATATCATGGAATTTATCTACTACTAACAACAGTGGAAGAGCAGTATAGATATATTATGTAATTTTATCCTTTGCATATTTTAGAAGCGAAACTTCTTTTACCTGTCTAATTTGTTTTATGCGAACTATTCTATCCATATGGATTTGATAGGAATTGTATCTTACAAAAACTTTCCTTAGAATCCAAACAAAAAGAAAAAAATGTTAGTGGATGCTAAGCAAAATAGAAGTAAAAACAATGCGATGCAGTGGGTGGTGCGGATGAAACCGCGGAGCACAGTTAGTGTTGTATGAATAAGTAAAATTGCGCAGCCAAATGTGTCCACTATTAGGTAACAAGCAAAGCAACAAAGCGAGTTCAAAGCACCAAGGGCATGACATGGCAAAGCACTCAGAAAGTCACCCTGGCGCTTTAAATAGAGCCGGGCACCCGCACGCCGCGCGCCGCCACTTTTAAATCCTATTAAAGGAGCTGACGACTCCCTATTCATAGACATTGGTTAGGGGCCATCCATAAATTACAAATTTCATGACTTTTGATCCTAACACCAACATTGTGCCAAATCCTTGCCTCTGTTAGTCACATTTTTGAGACCTAGTAAGATATTTTGGGAAATTTTAATTGATTTCATAAAAAAGTCGAATTTTGTGTTTTAGTACTTAGATTTATTACATTTTACAATATGATATTACGAAATTTAGGACTCCTTCCACTCCTTTCCCCCCTCACCCCCTTTCCCCGCCTTAGCATCTGAAGTAAATTCATGGATGGCCCCTTACATCCTTACATAATTCAGTACCGGTCCTTAACGGGAATTTCATAGCGGCGGAACAAAGCTAAGTTTTCCTTGAATAATGACTGGATAATTTTATGGAGTGACATAATCGTTTATTGGAACTCCTATTGTATTACGAACGTGATAAGATTAAAAATTGCAATGATATTTACATGTCAACGTGCGAATTGTCACATAAGCACTATAGGTAGCACAAACAAAATATTTTTTTTTTAATCTATTTATTATTTATGGTAGTAGGTAAGTAATAAATCATTATAAATATTAAGGTAAAATTTGCAAGATCGGTTTCAATATATCATTATATTAATTCTTTATTATTTATTTTGTATGTATATATGTTTTTGTATATATGTTTGATATATATTATTATATGTTTACGTCTATTATAATTTTAGCATTTTGTTTAATTCCAATCATACTTATCTGCCATATTCTGTCTTTTCCACCCAAACTTTCTATATATATAGATTGCTTAAAAAGTAAGATCACCTTTTATACTATATTCTAGAATATTTTAATATTAAGATATAATATAATGAACATAATATTTAATTTCAGGTGCAATAAACAGTAATAAATAAATAGATGTCTTTATACATTTTAAGATAAATATAGTCCGTAAATAAAGAGTTTAGGAAAGATCATTTAAATATGCAAACAGATATAATCGTAATTTATTATTGACATTAAAAATCATAGGTACATTCTTTTTTACATTAACAAATTTGAATAACCAGTAAGGTACCATAACTTCACGTATTTATTCTAGATGGTACAAATTACTAATACAAAACCTTTCAGTAGATATTAAAAAAGAGTGTTAACCAAAAACATTTTCAGATAATTTTTTTTTTACTACATTACAATTGAGGTCATATATGTGAGGATATGATTTTATTCGTTTATATTACGCAATAATTGTCAACTTGCTTTCGCATTGATGTATTGCCAAAATGTTTATTTGCACTTTGTAGAAAATTCTTAATCATTGTTTTCGAATAATTTACTTTGTAATACATATAATTGTTTAAAAATATAAAATCTCCCGAAAATCATCCTTACGTTTAATTATGGCCGGTAAGTATTTATACAAATATTGGTATGTTCTTAAAATTCAGTACCCACAAACCAACTATTTTTCAAACCAATTGATAGCAAAGATTTATTTCAGAATAGCCGAGTATATTTTTGAGTTTAAATTAGTAGTCAACTTTCTTTGTTAATCTTTGATACATTATTATTTTATTACATTTGACTATTATTATTTTTTTACTTGAGGACAATCCTCAGGGAGTCCGACCCTTTCACTCGAGGAAGGCAAGCAGGTACTGTGATATGTCCCTCACCCGATGCCAGGGGTTTTATATTAATTTTTGACCATGAACTTAATGAACAATTAAAAAAATATTATAAAGGAGAAATGATATTTATTTATTTCAAGCAACTTCATATCATTATATAACAATATTAGTCCATATTATATATACCTTATTTTCTGTATATATAAAAAATATAATATGTCTAATTAATAATGAATGCTATAGCTTTTTACAGTCTCACATGTATAAATTCTTTTTTTGATCTGTTACAGATGAGACTGCAGTTTTGCTAAACATCAGTGAAATGATTGATTTGGCCATTGGCACGCCAGAGGTAATCTATCTACTCAAATAATCTTTTTTACTTTTCTGGTTGTTATAAGGCCGTGCCATCTGATAAATGTAAGTAGGTATTACGCAGTTACATTTACAAGTCTTGTAGAACTTATTTGGACAGTAAGTTAATATGCAACCTCTGCAAAAAATCTCCAAATAATAATTACTAACAATCCCCCCGCCCCAATATCGACAGCTGTCCCTGAATAATCCATTTTGGGATGACATATAGGTATTATGTTAAAACATTACGATTCAGGTAGGAGTGGTGGACTTCAATATGCTGCAGACCGTTCTTCACTGCTTGGCTCAGCAGCTCAGGGTCCTGGGTAAGAATGTAGAACTGAGAGGCAGCGTGGTAACTTTACCAGTTGGACGGGAGAACGCAAAGACCATTTCTATTAGCGAATATGTTGTGGATACTGATGAGGTATGTATATATCGAATACAACCATCGTATCAGATATTACCACAGATACATATTACAAAACTTTTTTATTTTAATTACTCTTTATTAGTTTAGGAAACAGTAATAATAATAACCCAGGGCAATTCACTCAGCGCCATCTGTTCCCAAGCTAAGCAGAGTTGGGTACTAGACAACTACATGTAGATATAAATACATTTTTTTTTATTATATACATAGAAAATACCCAGACCAATAGATACACGGTACAAACATACATATGTTTGTACCGTGCGAGGACTCGAACTCGTGACCATACGGAAGTACCTAAACGGTGTGCTAAACCGCTAGACTATCACCGCCGTAAAACTTGACAAATGTAAATGATTGTTACTCATTTGTTACATGTAAAGCATATATTATATGTAAAGCACATAGAAGGAGAGAGTACTCTCCTCCTATGCTCATTTGCTATTAGGCAATATTAATAATTCACTTTATCATTAACAGATTTAATAGACAGATAGTAAGTAATAATTTAAACATGATCGATCTATGTATAAATATGAATAAATATGTATAAATATTTTTTTACAGCCACAAGCAAGGAGAACAAAGAAAACGGAACTGGGTATGTCCAATTTATATAAGTGTATATAAAAATAACATTTAAATGAAGCAATTTAACAATAACTATCGTTAATTTGTTATTGCATGACAAAGAGTATACATAGTATAAAAAAACTAGGTAAATCATATATACGCCTACAAAATGACTTTGTTATATGTCGAAACCACTATCTCATCTATTTCCGACCCCAAGAAGCTTTGTAAGACGTCTTTCAATTAAACGGTGAGATATAGTAGTGAAATTGCAGGATAAAATAGCATGATGTTTTATTCGTCCCAAATAGTAACGCATAACGCGTACGAGTATGTATATGACGATTACCACTTACCATCAGTTATGGAAACGGTTACTTAATCACATCATTTAAATTACATTATACAAAATAAGTATATAGATATTTAATCCATAATTTGAAAAGAAAATGATGAAATGAATAACTTTTTTTTATTTTTAAGGCTAAAATAGCCTCAAAAAAGCTTGGTGTGCTCAGTTTAGTGAGACGGTATTTCAGGGCGGCCCGTCGCTTGCAATTATACAAGGCGCAGATCCGGCCGCATATGGAATACTGTTCTCATGTCTGGGCGGGAGAACCACAATACCAGCTACTTCCATTTCACCGCATTCAGAACCGAACAGCCAGAATCATTGGTAATCAACGTCTATGTAACAGACTCAACCCATTGGCTTTGCGGCGAGATATTGCATCTCTGTGCATTTTCTACCGCATATATCACGGGGAGTGTTCTGAGGAATTGTTCGGATTAATACCAGCTGCTGAGTTTCACCACCGTACTACCCGCCAGAAACTGAAATACATTGTGGATCATCTGGATGAATGGCGGTCTTCAATATCGTATCTTTTCGATATTGAAACCTTCTAAGAAGAGCCTTAAAAAGAGCTTATTCCTTTTTAAAAGGCCAACAACGTACTTGCAATTCCCCTGGTTTTGCGGGTGCTCATGGGCGGCGGTAATCACTTACCATCAGGTGATCCGCATGCTCGTTTGTCCCCTGTTATAAAAAAAAAATTTACTTCAGAGAAAGTTTGAAAGAATAACTTCCTCAAAATTAAAAATAATCAAACATAAAACTAGAATAGTTCATATCCTTTATAATTTTTGTTACAGCCCCCACAGCACCCGTCGCATTAACTGAACAAGAAACTATATTAGTCGGTAAATACAGCTATAAATGACATCGAAAAATCTAATTATAACAATAAAAACCACATTTATATATAATCAATATTTTTTTTACAGTTGAAAGAGTCAAGAAGTCAGATTCTCCAAGTAAGTGATAGTATTATTATAATAGTTGAACCCACGGTTTCACCCGCATCAAATTTATACCCTGTGTGTTATTCTCTGATGTAAATTTTTATCAACATCCGTTCTAATAGTAGTTTTTACGTGAAAGAGTAACAAACATCCATGCATCCACCTATCCATCCATAGTCACAAACTTTCCCGTTTATAATATTAGTAAGAAGTAAGTTATAGTAAGATGTTCAAATATATGTAACAATTTAGCGATAATAAAAAATATAAGACTGGTTATATTTTTTGCCAACATTTATGTTTCTAACTGACTCTGCAGTAATGGACCAATATTATATACATTAAGAAACGCTGGTAGACTCGCTCGTTGCAACCTTGAAGAAATATATACATATAGGCCTAGGGCCTTCTCAATATGTTTTGATATCCATTACTGCAGAGTCAGTTAGAAACATAAATTGACACACAAAGTTATTGGTGTCGGCAAGATTCAAATTTACAAACGTTGTGACCAGCAATGTGTCATAACGTTGTTTCTTTTTTGGTTCTAATAAATGACAGCTAATATAGACGTTCTGAGATTTCGAAGCTTTACTCGTAATAAGAACAACCTTAGCCAATTTTAGATTCCCATCGATCGTCATGAAATAATTAAGTATACAATCAAAATAATATCGACAAATAATTTATTAAGTAACTTAAAATTAGGTCCTCGTATACGTCATAGAAGTTTCTCAGACGTCATAAGAACCATTGATATTAAACAATATGTAATTATTACTCTTGATAATTATTTCACTCACAATTCATTGTTATTAAACTTCTATTATGTAATTACATTTAGATCCAAGCTTACTATTCATTTTACACTGTCAATTATATTTAATAATTATACTATATTAAATTAACTTTATTTTTATGAAAACAATAAAATATTTTTTATACAATAATCCAGCTATCCGAAGTTCGCCTCGAGACCGTTCTCCCGACCCGTACATCTCACCAGTTTATCCTCCACCACCTCCTGGCCATCCGACGTCCTCCGAAAAGCTCTCCCTAGTAACCATCAGCAAATTCAACATCCTAGAAAACACTGTGCAAGATTTGAAGAATCGGGTTTATGGAAGTATTCCAAAAAATGAAGCTATTCTCGAAGAAGTCAGGTCAGTTCAGTAGCGTCTATAAATACGTGAAAGGATAAATACGTAAGATAGACAAACTGTGATATTGTAAAACAAGGGATTAAACGAGGGAGAAACTTCGTATCGTAGTATCAATAAATCATAAAATCTAGGACACCTCAGAGGAGTCTTATATCATGTGATATCATGTATCAAATTGAGTATACCTAAATTGAGTATATTAGAACACGAAATATTAACCATTAAAATGTAACCTGTTGAGAATGGGGAGCTAAAAGTACAGAATTTGATGTAATGTCATATATGCATGGCCATAATATTACAAATGAAAGGAAAAAGATGTTTTAGATGAAATAGTAAACTTGTCTGTGTTAATGATAGGTACCTACATGTTAAGGCCAATGAAAAAAGTTGGGAAGAGGATGTAAGCAGCTTATTATCATCCCATCAAGTTCAATTATCCCATAACAGTAAACTAATCTGTAAGAAAACACAACTGTATGTTAATTGTGAACTTTACTCTTCGGATCCAACAGATCTCAAACTAATTTAAAAGCCATTACCGACATGTGGACGTCTTTGAACGTTTCTTCTCGATTAGAGGCTGCCGAAACTGGACTGACTAAACTCAGTTCATTAGTGCAAGACTTGATTGGTGAGACTACAGAACTTCAAGACGCTCTTAAACGACGCAGTTCTAAAACGTAAGCTACTAAAAAAATTATTAACTAAATGAAAAAATTATTATTAAATAAATTATTAACTAAAGGGGGGGGCGGGACGACTGCTAACGGCACTCCAAAATACATTGGTTTTTACCTTTTTAGTTTATCCCTCAGATAATAGGTACACGAGTCACCATATATTTAATGAATATTTGGTATACATAGATTACTACAGACCTCCCATATCCAGGACGAATTAAAATGGCTCAGACAACTGTATTACCTATATACATGAACAGCACTATGAACATCACGTTATCAGGTAAAACAAGAAATACAATTTATGCATTGCTATTCCGGAAGACTAAATTGTTATGCCTCCTGTAAGTACACACTGTCTTATATCATCCTTCAACTGAAACACAACTTACAAAACAGACTGCTTGACGACTGAAATAGATGAGACTAATGTACCCACGCAGACGACTTTTTACAGTTTACCTCTGATAAAGTTGTTATAGAACTATGATAATTTTTCTTTGGGCTGGACTAAATCACTTCTTGAAGGAAAATAATAAATCGATATTTAAATGTAGATCAACAGCAGCCATTCCGGCACCAGGCGCTGCTATTCCTCCATCGGCTGATGCGTTTTCTCCGTCAGTCCCGGGTGCTCTTTCATCGACCCCGGCTCCTACGTCATCAACTCCAGCTCCTATATCATCGACTCCAGCTCCTCTGACAGCCTCTACCCAACCAACTACCGCTCTTCTACCAAACGCATCAAAAGAAGATTTGGCTGCAATTCAAGCACATTTAGATCGATTGCAAGGAGACCTTGATCACCTGACTAACACATTCTATTCCACTATGGAGGACATACATGCTGGATACAGTAAATATTTAAGGTTTTATAATTATAAAAAAGAATGATATTGAAAACAATGATTGAATATAATTATAGTTTGATATTAATAATATTATTGTTGTGACTGCTTCCTTGTATCGTTTATGGGCTCGCACACTACTTGTCGCTTATTAATAGTTGTTAAAATAAATTCAAAATTCTAACATTCTGGGTGACGAGACAAGACAAGACGTTAGTCAACTTTTATTATCTGTGCCCGCAATTTCACCTGCGTGAAATTTCTAGCCCATGTATTATTCTGATGTATAAGCTATATTATTGTAAAGTTTCATTAAAACCATTCAGTAGTTTTTGCGTGAAAGAGCAACAAACATTAATTCATCCATCGATACACACAAACTTTCGCTTTTATAATATAGTAAGAAGTATTACTTGTATTATTAGCACCACCACCGCCGTCATCTCCAACATCAAAGGCTACGCCCTCATCGCCTACAGCAGAGGCTACTCCCTCATCCCCTACGTCAGCACTACCTTCTACACCAGGTAAGTAAATTATTATTATATATTGGAATGGTAACAAACTGATGGTCCACCTGATGGTATGTGGCAACCATCTTCTAAACACATTAGCGGCACCAAAACCATCACTTTATCACATGATAACCGTAATACTCAAAAGTAAACAATAAGCTTTAGGTTTTCTATTATACTACGCAATTTTATATAACTTTTATAATATAGTTTTTAAATAAGTTTTTAAATCTACCGCTCATTCGAAAAGCTGTCTCGTCACAAGAACAACGAACAAAAAACTTGCGTGATGCTCTTTTAAATGTTATAATATGATAGGTACATGTAGGAATAATATTAAATTATATTTTCCAACTACGGATAATTTGTTAAAACAATAATTTTATTACGTTGGCGTGCCCTAACAGGATCCATATTGAACTAAATGTACCAATTATAAACATATGTAACTGTAAACATTATGGAATGCAATATATATTGAGTATTGAGTACTTTTGATTGCCATTCCACTTAGGTATATCCTAATGGCTGTACTTAAAACATGACAATATTTAAATAAAATATAAGATAATAACGTAATGACTTATCGAAAATGTATATTTGCATTTAAGTCGAACGCCGTCAGACACGCCGGTCTTTCTCCGACATGTCAGCTAGTCTTTTGCAAAGAATGAATGACCTAGAGAAACAACTCAAGGAATGCTGTGACAAAGTAGGCAAAAACGACGACGTCGTATCCGATCAGGTACATATATACCTACCTAATTAATAATAGTATTTTATCAAATGTAGCTTTGCTTCAATACACTTTCAACGTTCACACAATATTGTAATTTAATAGATTACGACTATAACCTATAGAGGAAATCTGTAATATTTTTTTCACCTACATGAGATATATCTCGGATCTACCAGAAGATTTTTTTGTGTATGGTGATGGAATAGTCAGCCCGAGCTACAGGGTTACGCTCGCAGGGCACCAGTAGAAGATGACAGGATAAGCATGAGATCAGGTCAGTTAGCCCATTGTGACAAAATTCACCACCTTTTTATTATATAACAATGGCTTACAGGTGGAACCGCGTGGAGACCTGACATGGTACATTGCTAGCAATTCGGTTATTAATCGACATTACAAATAACCCCCTTCCCCCGAAGGAGACCTCTACCAGAAATATAATTATTATTATTACTTCCTTTTTACTATCTTTCTCCTCGGCTTTCATCGGTATTTTTGTTACCTACTGGCCTAAGGCAAGTATGTTTTTATGTCAATATATATTGTCTATGAGTACCTGATCAGTTTGAAGGAATTTTCTTATTATTATTATTATTTACGCTATTGTGGCATTTTCGCTTTTGTTTGTTTTTACCACACTTACGAGTCGAAACCAAGGAACTGCAGTGTGTGAGTGTAACTGGTGTGTGTGTACCTACATATTGTGGGACTGGTATTATGTCCTTTTCATGGATTTCCAGAAATATTCGGTCAGTTCGACAGGTATTTAAAATGGCAGCTTTTTGAAGCCTTATTATTATTATTTAACCGGAGTTCACACATTCACAATGATACCGGTAGGCGCGTAAATTTGAATTTAGAACTCGTTGAATGAATGATATAAATTTTTATGTAGGTATGATTAATATACAGGAGAATGAGAGTATGTCATTCACAACATTGTTTAAGTATCTTCATAAATTTACAGATGCAGTCATTCCAAGATCAATTGGAATATTTGATGAAACAAGTAGCAGCACTAACTGAAGACTTAGGTGCTGGAAAGCTATCACCAGATCTGATAAAAGATCTGCAAGGTATTTTAAAATTATTATAATTTAGGAAAGTTATTAACTATAATTTATGATTTTATGTTCAAATTACTAACATTAGAACACAGAAACATAAATACAACATCCTGGGCAGCATATTAACATTATCATAACTAATACAGTTCAGTTCTGTCATTTTCTACATGAAATAAGAAATTTTCATCTACGCTTTTTACATTGTTATCCGCCCTAGATAAAGACACTAATGGTTTGCCACGTCTCCACCCGAGTGCTCATAATTTTGCATTCATAATGAAATCGAAGAATGATGTCACTATGGAATAATGCGCCCTTCGAAGAGCCGAGAATTTTTGAAATCGATGAAGTGGTTCCGGAGTTTACTCATAACAAAATCCGTGCTATGTTTTAGGATTAATGCACCTTTTTACGACTGTGCAAGATATGCAGGAACAATTGAAGCAAGTACACGAAACTGCTCTTCAGTTGGCAGGCGAAAAAGAGGACCGGCAAAGTAACATTAATGTAATCCTATTCATAGTATAGTCATAAATTTAACAACTTTATTTTGAATGTTATATATATATTTTATAAGAAGCTAATGAACCGAATATAAATATTGGGATCTCTTATTTTTTTAAATACAGTATGATTAATGTTAGATACTTTCAAATATTGCTAATACCTACTTATAAAATTTAAAAAAAATTAAGTTCCAAAATCAATATAAATGTTTCTGCTTAGTTTATTTAACTAGAAATAATAATCAGGCTGTTGTACCACCTGCTGGTAAATGGCAAACTTCGCCCATGTAGGTACAGTTACACCAACACGAAAATCAAGTGGAAACACCACTTATTCATTGCCATTTCGCAGAAACAAGATTTTATGTCCCCGTAACCTGTTATTACACTGCCACCTCTCACCGAGCAACTGAAATACATTTCGCTGTTCATACATTTCACTTTAATCCGAAAAACAAGCTGATTGATAGGTGAAGTAGGTGTGATAGAGTACAAAATGATTTTCTATTTCTATTTCTACAATACTTAGAAAAGTAAATAAATCAATGAAATTAAACGTCTTGTGTTGTGTGTAACATCTTGTAATTAATGTCAGCTATTAATTTGAATATTTTAGGCATTGTTGGAACAAATCGAACTGTTGAAGACTATCAAATTGGACAGAGAGGATATGGTAGAGGCTATGGCTGAAAAAGCAGATTTGCGAATGCTTGCTCGAAAAGTGTCCCATGACCAATTCGAATTGGCTTGTGACGACCTGTCTAGAGGATTGGAGCATGCTCTCGGAAAACTTAATATTCAGGTCCATAGAATAGACTAGATATTAAAGTGATTATTATACTTCTCATTATAATTACTCAATATTATAATGAATCATTCAATTTCAATTATAAACCAGTAATTTTACATTACATCTCTATTATTTCTCTATTTATTTAAATAAGTAGTTATTGTTAGTACCAGTTACACATTGTTGCGAAACAACATATGTTTATTTATAGATTAAATTAATTAATATAAGTAAAAGTAGTTAGTAGCCTCAATTTTCGTAAAAAACAAAGTAGATACCTATATGATTAAGTATTATAGTTTATCTATATTTTCTTTCTTTCTTCTTCTTTCTTTCTTCTATATTCCATAGCTCATTTAAATCCGTTCAGCCATTTAAGCGATATTATTGAACTTTAAAATTTCTTCACAAATTTTCACAATTATAATATCAAAGCGAAATATTTTTTCTAAACTTACTGTTACATTATCACTTACTCATACATTATCATGTAATTAATATTTTGTATCTAGAATAGAAATTATAGAAACACTACTAAAATATAGAAATGACATAACACTTTTGTTTGTTTTATTTACAGGAAGCTTTATGGCAACAAGCTCTAGACGACATACAGCGTGAAATTGAGACGAAACTAGACAAGATGGAATTGTCACCAGTGAAAGACTTCTTTAATAATAAACTACGACAACTACAAGAGAATTTGAAGCAAATAGCAGCAATGAGACGAGAAGCCGAAGCCGCTGGCACCAAGAAGAAATTATTGAGGTAGTTGCATCTTTCAAAATGTGTATAGGTCGTCGTAATAGACCTATGAAAACGTTCAATAAACATTAACTGTTTATTTTTTATTTATTCGACGAAAGATTATTTCATTTAATAGACAATTTTTAAATTTACTCTCTATTAAAAATGTGTTTATTTTAGACTACCTATAATATTTTTTCACAAATAGGATACTTTCCCGTAACTCTTAAAGTCATGGTTATTCTACTCGCGACAACAAAATCATTGTAAGTGTACAACCATATTTATATAGGTATACGATAGGTACGTATTACAATGTGTAAAATGGATTTCTTGTTTAGTATTTTCAGTGAAAATTGAAATCAATAAGTACCTAAATGTATTAAATCTAATTTTCTCCATACGTGAAGACAATGAAGTCACCTGTACAACTATTTAAACGGGTGGTAAATATTAGTAGAACCCGACTTCAAATTAACATTAACATACATTTTTATGTTTCAATTTCAACAGGGACGTTAACTGCATATCATGTGATGCTAAGGCAGTAATGCAAATGGAAGCAGCAAGTGCATTGCCGGCCAGCAAGCCACTGCCCGCCAACCTGTCGATGAAACCATACCTCAGCTACGAACTAGGTAAATGTAGATGAATTAAACATACAATATACAGTGCTAATTATAATATTTTTTGTTATTAATAATGATTCCTACACAATTCGCACAGCGCCGTCTAGTCTAGTATGTACATATTGATACACATATATAGAACCAACATAACCTCATATTGTACAGCTAAAATTGTAATAACTACGCTAAAACATATAATAACAATTGCTGCGTATGTAACAAGAGTATTGCTGCTTGGTGGTAGAAATAGGTCGTACAAATGTACATCGTCTACGGAGCTCGTAGACGATGTACGCAGTATAACGTTTACCTTAAGGGTCATTAAAGCGAAATACAAACGGAATCTCTGTTTCTAACCAATTTTTGTTTGTTGTAGATGCAATACGTAAGTCGCAGGCGAGTAATCTGCAGCAAAGAAACATGCACGACTGGGAAACCATAGACAAGCAAATGACATCCAAACCAGTACAAAAAGCCAGGTAGCGTTTATTAAAGTCCAAAGTTATATTACTGTACCTATTTTCAATCCTTTTAAGAAAAATATAATCTATTCATCAATATCACTTAATATAAAAGTATGTCATATACATATATGTTCTCCCTCAGAAAGATATGTAACAAAATAATTTTAAGACAATGTGAGAAAAGAGGACGCATCCCTAGAAGAGATCTCTTCCAATGAACCCAACACAGTATAGGTAGTAATGAGTAGGTAATAATAGCGTACCTATCAAATGCAGATCAGAAACAGACAAACATATATGCAATCGATACTGCGGTGGTTCACACACCGTGACCACACCTGCGCAGCGCGTCGCTCGACTCGGACACTTCATAAAACAGTGGGGGCCTGATGTACTGCCGCTATCTTCTGGACTGGCTGCCGGAGACGACGGAAGGGTAAGAATCGTACAAAGAGATGGCATGACAAGTACAACTTTTTGAATCTTTACTTTACTTCATGTTCAATCAGGCGTAAGTGATCATACAAGTATTGCATTGTCTTTCCGCAAGAGGCAACAAGTTGAGTTACGTGCCGGTTAGATTTGACTGAGAGAATACAAGAATACTCCGCTAGGGCCTCCTATCAGAATTCAATTATAATCAAGTTGTGTAGTTCTAACGCTTTTATTTATGTTTAAGATGTACAAAGTGAGTACGGTAGAAGGAGCAAGTGTTGGACCAGGTGAGGTTTGAAAAATATCCTACATTGTTTTTTTCTTTTTCTTATATGGTAGGTACCTTTACGTTCCATTTCTTATAAGATGTATGGTCTGAGCACCTGCTTAATGTCTGTAATATTCAATATTATTTGATTACCTATAAGCTTCTATAAACAAAAGCGTCAACTTTCTACTGTAAAAAATATCACTAGAGTATCATACGGCCATTACCTATTTAACTGGAATGGCAAGCAACCTGACAGCTGTAGTAACAGCTAAGTGGGAACCGTCGCCTAAGTATATATCTATGAGTAGATACATGCACAGTGCCACGGAAATAACATGTTGATGTTATTGCGGAGGACTCTATGTTTCCATGTCTCTTTATCCCATATTTTCTTATCTTACACTTTTAAAAAAACTATGTTACAAAGCAAGCTATTTGGCGGCTGAAATAAATTAGACAGATGGGGACATCTATCTAATTTATTTCAGATGCTGTACAAAGTTTAACCCGGTTAAAAATAAATGAAACTGAATAAAGTTTCTGGTTAACATCAGGCGGAGCGGTGGAAGCAACCTGCACTCCAAAATCACCACCAAGGAAACCGGAGCTGCCGAAACCACCTCAGAAGCCTGTGCCCAATAATACTGTACGTCTCTACTTTTCAATCAATTCCCGTAATCATCTAAGCACTAGTCGTAAATATTACTTATACCTAAGTAAATTTTTACGGAACTTCTCGGGTTGTACCGAAAAAGATTCTGATCTATTAATAAAAAATACACGAATAATTATAACTGATATGATAAATGAGCATGCGCGGTGTTCTTGATTACTAAAATGCACACGGATTTTTGGTGAAATATGAAACGTAAAATGAAATGTTGACGATGCGAAATAATGTACGATGCTAGCTCGTATAATATCACTTAAATTTTAAATGCCTATAGTATTCTTTCCAAAGTTATTGCCGGCAACTAGATAGAAAATTTTAAGATAAACTTGCATGATGTGTGGTGTTTCACTAATGCTAACAATAGGGATATAACGTATTGTACCGCTTTACTTTCAGCATCTAAAAGTTAACTTTATCCGATTAAATAACGAATTTGTTCACTTCATGTAGTTACGTAGTAAGAAGTAAATTAGATTTCTTTTATAGATTGAAAGAACACAACCCTATAGCCATATTATCATTTATAACTTGGTATTGTACCTACAGTACATACTATTATACCATCACTATACAAAACTAAAGCAACTTATATGCATATTTAAAGCATCTGAACTAATGACCGTAATTTAGAATTTACACTAAATTTACAGAATTTTTAGTACCTATATAATTTAACTAATTCAATTTACTGTTTCCAGGAATGCCGTTGTTTAGAAGGGGGTAAAGATATATAGGTACATATAGCAATATGATTGTCAATACTAACATTCGTGTGTCTTTTGTCTGTTGGTTGCGTTTAAACGACTTGTTACATCTCTCTCTTGTGACATCAAATTTCATAAAATAGAGATGTAACAAGAAAACAGCTAATTATCTCAAACATACGTAGGTAGACGCGGACTGCTATGTCCATCTTAAATTAATCTTTTTAGGCATGTTTTTAACAATTGAACATAGCCCTTTTCTCTTCGTTTGCAGTTAGACTCGGCGATTTATTAATATCATAATGAACTATAATGTACTAGCTAATATACATCCCTATTCCATGAAAACTACGTTCTATTTGCAAATTCCGGACATCGCCCGAAGCTTTATCTAGGCACGAGAAGGCACGGAGCGCATTGCTGTGTGAACTTATTAGTTACGTCTACGTGTGGACAGACGAAGACAACCCAAGCACCGCAATTATATGACAATTTAGTGTCTTAGTTCAGTTGAGTTTCTTGCCAGTTCTTCTTAGTTGAATCTGTATTACACTGTAAGGAAAACATACAAAAAATATGTTCATAAGCGGCTAATATAATAATAATAATAAATGATTTTTCATTTGATTTGACACTTCTATACTGTTCACGTCCATACATGACAAAAGCTATTTATTTACCTATACGTTATACTTCTGCACTAAAATACCGCCTGTAATCTTCTAACTTCCTGTATATATTATATATAGACTAAATATTGCCTATTAAAATTAATTAAAAATACATGAGCTTAATACGTAATCTATTAACACAAACATAATTTGTAAAAAATATTCTTTTTTATTTCAGATCCACCTGCAAAGGGGTCAAATCACTTTGTATATTTTCTTAGAATCCTTGTATTTTTCTGTTTGTAGTTTACAATTGTGAAAATATATTACTGATTGTGAGACGTTTGTAAAATAAAAAGACTGTTTTACATCATATCGAATTTAATGGTAAATCTATACCATACATTGTATCCTTAATATACCTCACTTAACACTAATAATAAACAAAATCGCATTTTTCTACTGATGCAAATCCGAAAACAAATATTTTTATAGCAGCATTCTTTTTAAATTTATATTTACAAAATGTCCAAGCATAACAAAACAATATCTTATCACACTAAAATTCCGCGCATGAAGACAGACAGACAGACTTTTTTTTAAATATTAACGCCCCTTAAAAATGGCGTAGGTACAGACTAACCTCAATATTGCAAAAATTTACACTCCAAAATCCATTTTAAAAGCCGCTGTCCGTTCTGTGAAATACTAGATATCCCATTGGATATTTCCTATTCAAAGTACTTCAGAAATGTCACAGAACAACGACCGACTAGAAGCACGGCCATTTCAATAATTAACATTTATAAACAGCAAACTGTATAAATATGATACGGGACAAGCACATTTTAAAATATACATAGCACTAAGTAATATCTCTTCTTAAAGAAATAAGATATACCTATGGGTTGTATTATATATCGCATACAATTCAAAGACAATAAAAATCATATTAACAATTAGCTTGTTTCCAGAGAATACACTATCTGATGTCACATACTTAGTGTATTTAACTTTCGCGCTCAATCAATCAATTAATACTGGATCTAAAAAGCGATACGAGAATATTAACCGGAAACATACTATTTAGTGACTTGCAACTCTTCTGTAAGCGACAAGGACGCCTTTTATTGTGCACATTTATGTTAAGTTTTCTTTTGTAATTATTTTTCTATATGTGTTGTTGTTGTTACATTAACCAACTTAATTTTTTTTTATCTGAACAACAACAACAACAACTTTACAACTTTAGGAGATATCCTTAAAATTGTAATTGAAGTAGATTTAATTTTATAGTCTTTTTGGCTTACGATGTTTGTTCATAAATTGACTATACACAATATTTTTTAAAAATTTATCTAATAAATATTAGAATCTTGCATATACTCATAGCTTTTCCAAACATATATAGCTCGTATAGCCTTGGCATTTTGTCCGCTCTGCCTCCCTATTAATAAGCCACTGCATAGATCAGAACTAAAATAGGTACTTCAAATTACTAATAACATAAAGTTTTCTAGTACTCCAACGTTAGCCATTTTAAGTCACTATTACATACGAGTATGCGACATATCGAACTGTGCTGAAGACTGTTCTACTTTTTTTAAAGTAAAACATAATCATGCGACCAAAAATTACTAGTTCCTGATAAGGTGATTTTGGCATAGATTCAAAATGAATGCATGTCAAAATTATTATAAAATCACACCTGTTTCCATAGTACAATATGATAATTATTAAATGCATGATGTATTGCTATCTAATAGACATAAAGGACAAAAACGATTGCAACCGAAATAGAGATCATACAACTCGTCGAAAAGCTAGTAGTTCAGTTAAACAAAACAAAATAGAATCTATAAAGCAATATCACAAAGCTCAAGTACCTACAAATTACTAGTATTATAAAACCAGTAAATTTATATATTCATACAACTTGAACGTTTAGAACTATATACATAATAAAAATCAAATTATCGGGCTGTATGTACTTAATCTTTTAAAGTTTACAGTTCCAGGTTTATCAAGATAAAAACTAAATTCATTCCTGAATTTCAAATATACACAAACGCACTTGATAATTAAAAAAAAAATCTTTATACCAATTGTAAATTATTCATAGTTACGATGTACAGAACACAATCAATACCGAGTCCGATTACTAAAACACTGCCAATATACATTCGTTAGGTCATAGTTAAAATGTTACATTTATTCTTAGGCTATAGTTAAAATATCGACATGGTTTATATGTTACAACTTACAGTACATATTAATACTGTAACATGCAACTCAAAACATACAATAGTATTATTTTTAAAATGGCAACACTGCCCACTGTCAATTTTATAGTTGATCATTACTATTATTATACATGATATTATTTTAAAATCTAATATACGATTTTTTTTCTACTACTTGGTATACATCCAATCTGATGGGTTTGTTACAGACACGCATCATAAAATATGTAGATTGTAGATACTATTTTCTAATATTTGAAATCTGAAATTTTATAAAGATGTTAAATTGATACACCAATATAAACAGTTGCACTAAATTGTTTATTTGAAGACGTTTATAGGGTACCTAAGGTAGAATACTAATACAGTATCGGTATGACCAAGAGGCGGGCGGTAGGTATCTTTTTTAGAAAACATTTTCCCTAATACAACTCATAAGTAGTTATATTATACAAACTGTCATTCAAATATAGCTGTTTCCCACATAATGTACTATATAATAACCTGTACATTTTGTCCACAGATGGACCATACCCTGTATTGTCACTTACGATACTTCTTATCTCAATTTACGCAATGGCAATGCCGTGAACTTTACAAGTAAGCATATAAATAGGAATAACATATGTATATACTTACAAAGGTCATTATAATAACAATATGAAAATAAACACAAGAGTTTATATGTACTTGAAAATTTACACTCATGAACAATGTTACCATGATAATAAATTAGATTTTTAAATACTTTAAGTAAAATAATAGTAATGAAAATACAAAACTTAACAAAAAATTATGCTTTTTACCAAGACTTTTTCTACTTTGTTACAGTAGTAACAATATACAATATAGATATTTCTGAGATTTCCACAGATTATTTTAAGCATTTTATTGACATAATAAAATTATATCTTGATAGTAAATGAGAATTAAGCAGTTCCTAGACGCTTCCTTTGTGGATTTAACCAATAAAAAGTTCAAAACCTTTTAAAGAAATACTATTTTTATGCTCCTTCAAAGAAGGTCCCTTTTTTCAAACTACAATACTCCAATCAATATACTTTACGACCCATATTCAATTTGTGGATATTCGAAAGTTCAGCGATGCCGTCCACGCGCTGGATATGTGCTTGCACCTTCACGACTGTAGCGTCTCTCCTTGCGATCGTCCCGATTTCCACGCGACTTGTCGCGTCGCTCTCGATCACGTGACCTCTCCTTGTCGCGGGATGATCTAGTAACAATTAATTAATACAATATAATTTCTATTGCATCTATTTTATATGCTACTAGGGTAGCTAGCCCCGGTTTAGCACGAGTGTACATGTATTATACAAATAAACTCCTCTTAAATCACTTTATCTATTCCTAAAAACTGCATTATAATCAGTTGCGTAGTTTAAAAGAGCTAAGCGAACAGACAGTGGAAACGACTTCATTATATACTACGTAAAGATATAGCCCTGTATGGCAGCACAGGTATGCCCATAACTTTGTAAGATTTTATTACATTCACATAATATATGGCCTGCATAAAGTACCTCACAAAGAATGAAAGAATTTCTCAAATCATTGCAGTGATACTGGCGTTTCCTTTCTTATATAATAACAAAATCCGCTCTATCGCTCTGTATCACTAAAATATTTTTATATGAAGTAAATTCGATGTTACCATTATGTAAAAATCATCACCAATTGCAATTTCTTAGTTGAAACTGCAATTCGAAAACTGTTCAAACAAATCCCAGACGTACCGACCGATTTCAATGTTACAAATTGGAATTATTACCATCTATGTAACATAATAAAGCAGCGGATTTGATCAATCTAACTTCTTGCTCCTCATTTTAAGATATCCTGTATTTGCATCTGTCTACCAGATTTTGACTCACTACTTTAGTTTCGTTAGCTGTATTTCAGGATAGGAAAACTTTAAAAAAAAATATTTATAATTTTAAAATGTATACTCTATATGTTTTAGTCTCGAGTCTAGTAATCTAGTATATGTTCTATTAACCGAGTATACATTTCTTTACATTATATTTACATTTCATATTATTGCTACCTATTTGAATAAATATAATTATTGCCATACAATATTTTAATATGCTACGTTTCAATTGTTGAATTAATTATAATATATTTACCTGGACTCGCCAGCTGAGCGACTGTCTCGCGACTTGCGTCTAGCTGGCGTATTACTTGAACGCGACCGAGGCGACCGCGACCGTGATTTGCGACTCTTCGGTGAATATTCCCGTTCACTGTTTAGATTGAAATCGTCGAATCTGAAACACACAAACGTTACTCCACGCGCTGTATTTACACCTGTCGAATATCAATGGTTAAAATTGAACACGTTATATACATCATAAACATCCTTCGTATCCTTCTGTCGTTCCATAAGTCCTTTTGCGGATTTGGAGTACCATCTGCACTCGCGCCCTATCGTCCGGCAAAGCTGTAGAGAGCAGCTGCGGCCTACAGCATTAGGAGAATCCAAAAAAAAAGAACCTGTTACGAACGCTTTATATCATTTACTATTTCAGATTTTACCTCTCTGGTAATGGGTATACTGATAAAAGTAACCAAATTAATCCGAAACGCCATTAAGTGCGGATAATAACTGGATAAGGGCCGAATATTATGCCCAGTGGCATGCCTTTCAAGAGCTCTATGTCCAATAGTGGTCTGCAGTGGACTGATGATAATAATGTATGAGAAATTTCCATAAAATACAAATTAACCATTCTTTTAAACTAGAACAAATTATTTAGCTGTTTAGACCTTTTTAAACATATACAAAAAGACACAACATACTTATTTTTAGGGGCCTGTGAAGAGCTGTGACTAGATGTAGAGCTGGAAGATGAACTGGATGACGAAGACGAGCTCCTAGACCTGTTGACACACATATTAAATTATTCCAGAAACTTGTATTTAACATATCAAATTATATAACAGTGATTCATCAATATCAAATTTAACAGTCCTATTTTTAACAAACCTTTTACTGTTTTTCGTGTCCGGAGACGCTGAATTGCCATTATTTTCGACTGTTTCCGATCCATTCCCTTTTGATGTCTCTCCACCTTTCGTCTTATCGGCCGTTTCTGTTACATCAATACATTTATTATATAAAGATAAATACAAACATTGTAACTATATTGGGTTTATTCAATATGAAAACTGACCAGTTTTAGAGGAATTGCCTTGTTCTTCATCACTGCCCCATAAATCATATTTAGAAAGATCAGCATCATCACCTGATTCTTCATCATCCTCTTCATCACCGTCACCTTCACCTTGGGATCCAGATGGTTTACTCTGAAACAACACAATCAAACTAATATCCTTATTTGTCTAAAATTATTTCCAACAAAAGCTCCAGTTGACTTTTAAAAATTATAAGCCGATGACAAAGTAGATTTAAATACAAACCTTTCTTCTTCTCTTTAATTTCTTGCCATTTGCTGTCTTTTTTACGTTCTTATCTGTAGTTTTCACAGTTAATTTGAGTCTATTTAACATTATAGGTTTTGGTAGGGCAAAACTTTTAAAATTTCCAATTACTGGAGCATTTTGATTTAAATTTGCCTTGTTTTCACTTTTAGTATCGTCAGTAGATATAAGATTCAGATTTAATTTTCTTGTGACATTAGAAGGAATAACCACTGGACCAGGATCAAAAATATCACTTAAAAAAGGAGTATCACTAGTAGCTCCATCCAGCTTTTCTAGTTCCCTCTCTATGCTACCACCGCGATTTGTTTCCTTTTCCCATTCCTCATCATTTATAATATTAATAGCTTCGACATCTTCGTTTTTATCACTGTCATTAACTTGTATAACATCATCAGACTCATTAAATCCACTTGTATTGGTACTGGAATTTTGAGTTAATTGCTGCAAGTTCTGAAGAGCTAGTAGCAATGTATTTGTATTAATTCCTGATAATAAATTGCTCAAATCCATTGGTGCTGATGGTTGTAGTGGTTCAGTTTGTACTGTTACTTCCTCAATGTCACTTTCATGGTGTGGTGATGGATTGGACTGTGAGATCTGAGTATCAGATGAATCCTGTTGATTACTAGTTACATTATTTGAATGATCTGATGCAGAAGACATTCCATTGCCACTTGGGTATATAGTAACAGATTCTAAAATTTTTACCCTTTTTGATGGACTTATATTTTTTATTGGATTTTCATGAGGTATGGTTATAGCCGATACTGACTCGTTATTAAGTATTTCTTCCGAAATAGACATAATTCCATTAGTTACATCTTGTGGAATTGCATCAGGTCTAGTGAACAAAAGTTTTGGTGACATGTTTACTACAGATTTTGAATGATATGTATAATCACTTTCTATATCATTCCTTTCTTTTCGCAATCCTATATGATTAAGGGATTGTGCATGGTCTTCTTTTTCTTTGTTAGTCTGAAATTCTTTTAACAAACCTAACAACACATCATGTTTATCCCTAATAATGTCAACAGCTGCTGCATTTGGTATATCTTTATTCTTCTTTGGTGTCTCATTATCTGAAGCATATAAAATACTGGACATAGGACTTTGAACCCTAAGTGAACCAATACTGGGCGGAGATGGCGTGCGTTTTTTGTCTGGTGTACTAGATTCTTTGTAGAGGGCGTCATCATCATCATCCCACTCAGTTTCATAAATTTTGGGGGCATTGTCATTTTTCTCTAATTCCGTTGAATCTAGACTGTTTAGATTTCCATCATTATTCCCAAATATATCCATTATGCTTCTATTTTTTGATGAGGATTGAGACTGTACTATATCAAATACACATGATGAATTCGCTACTGAGCTTTCTACATTATTATTAAATATTTGTGGAGTTGACGAAGGTAAGGTATTTGGTCTATCAAATGGCAAAAAATGATCTACAATTGCAAAATGGTCAAATTCATCTTTAGTAAAATCATCACCAGTGTTCAGATTTAGTGGTTTCTGTACAAGTGGCTCTGGTAGTTGATGTGCTATTTGCCGCACTGGTTTCTGTGGTACTTGCTTCACCTGACTCTGTTCTGACTGTTGAGCAGTAACATAACCAAGTGGAGAAACAGAATATACATTGGTAGAAAATTCTTCCAGTGCTCTTGGTTTCAACTCATTTGGTGCAGGTTTATTTTTAACAATGGTTCTTCCATTCCCTTTCGCCCAAAATCCCTTCCTCTTTACATTATTTTTAAATTCTTGATAATTCTTTGTTGTTGATCCAAGTTTTGTAGGTACATACTCATTTGAACAACCATCAATATCTACTGTACTATGTTCCTGATTTTTTACTCCCATATTACGCAAATTTGACATATAAATATTACCAGTTGTTAATGGAGACTTTTCTGATTGCTTTGCTGTACTATATCCCATAAATGTTGATGTTTCAGATATACTATTTTTCACTTTAGCAGCTGGAATACATTTCTTTGATTTTCGTCTTATTTTTCTACCATCTTCAAAAACTCTTGATAAGAAATTGTCTTCATCACTATGATATGAAATAGAATCTGAATCTGAGTCCTGATTAAACTGTCTATCTGAAGTATTTGATGGATGATTTAAGTTCTTTAGAGGTTTTCTGGATCTAGATTCTTTACTTCCCCTTTCTGAATCTGTGTCAGGATAATTAGAATCTCGACTATCACATGAACTAGAACGGGTTTGCTGATTTGTCGAACATGACTGGCTTCTAGCTTGTGATACCCTACCTTCTCCTGCACTGGAGCCACCTGCTACATTGGTTTCATTGTCTATTCCACCAATTAATAAAGTTTCTACACTCACACTTCTGTGGTTCAACAATGGTAGAGATTTTGTAGGAACAGGTGTCTTTATTTTACAATCATCATCACTATCCGATATAATAGGAATTTCATCAGGATTTGGAAGTCTTTTGATGGTTTTGTTCTCTAAACCAGAAATAATGTTAGCAGTTGGAACTGAAGCTGATGGTTTCTCAAGACTATCTTTCTTTGTTTCTAAGTGGCTATCCACTAAGCAACCAGTAGATAATAGACGTTGTCTCCATGCAAATATGGTTTTAAAGTCAGGTGCTGGTTTATCATATAGAGATTCAAATTTATCAGTACTAATTTTACAATTATTATACACAATAGCAAAAGCCGCTGCCTTTACTCTTTCTTCCAAAGTGTATGTTACTTGGAAATCTTCAGCAGGAGTTAATCCAGTAAACTTATAAACCACTTCATTATTGGTTGAAGACACCCTATTCTCCATAACTGGATTATATGTTTTGACTGTGGCAACATCAGAGTCTCGCTTCATTTTTTTTGGACCAGTCTCATAGCCAGAAGATACATTGTGCTCTCTATCACCTGCACTAATAAACCTCTTTCGATAATTCATACCATTTGTTTTTAAAGTAGGCAACATATGGTCCTGCCTATGATAGTTTGTTTGTGATTGGAGTTGATTCCTCCTAAATGCAGTTTTAGATAGTAGGGGTACTTCACATACAGATCCATCACTAAGGCTACCATTAGCATGGGCTTGTTCTTTGTTAACATATGACACTTTTGATGCTGGTACAGGCATTGCAAGATCCGAATTAGTTTCCATCTGCAGTACTGTCGGTGGCATTTTTTTGAATGCTGCCCCTTCAGTGATGCCAACCTGAAGGAACAGGAAAAATAATCTCCACTTTAATAATGATGTGCTTCAAAATTTTATTGCACTTACATTAACATCAAATCTTCTTAGCTTCAAATGCTTTCCCCTAGATTTTTATAAAATTTTTAAAATAAAAATTAACTATTGTTTTTAATATTTCAAATTAGGAATACATATTAATAAGGACTGGTAAATAAAGGTATTAAAATAAAATTATATTTTAACATAAATAAAGTTCATTGTGCATTTTCTAGATAACACAAATTGTGGAGCCATTTGTGTGTTCTAGACCAGAACTTGAAGAATTCCTAGTTTTCAAGCAAAAAGATTCATGTTCCAAGATATTCTTATACTTACATACAATTGTAATTGTTTCATAATTTATTATTGTTCTTAACAAATATGGTATACAACACTAACACTGCCTAAATCATTTATATATTAATAATATAATATATATCCTCTAAATTGAATACCAAAAACTATAAGGGTGAATATGTGTTAGAGCTGCATAATGCACAATGAATATAAGACATTAATGTTAAGTCTGTAATGTTAATAATAAAGGAACATTTCTATTAAACAGCTTGTAATTTATAGAACTCACCTTATCATGTGCTTCAGGTTTGCGCTTACGTTTCTTTCTTCCAAATTCATCATATTCATCATCTGAGGAGGGTTCCCGCCTACGATATTCCACCACACCTCGCTCATTGTACCCTCCCCCATATCCTGTGCGTGCTTCCACCTGTTAAATCAAAGTTACATAAAATATTACATTTTACTGTACTGGCCAATAATATTTACAATTTAGATATATACATACTTCGCCAAACTTCGGTGCATTACAAACATTGCATGTCTGACGCCGGGCCCAATTAACATTCGCACATTTGTTGCATTGCCAATCGTCTGCATTGAACAAACCGCGGCTCTTTTCAGCAGCTGATTTCCCAATTTCTGTACCAAGTTTCTTTTTAAAAGGTTTACCACTATCTGGTCGTTCTTTATTACAGCGGTAACATGAGACCCGTCGTGCGAAATTAATATTACCGCAATTCGCTTCAGGGCAAATCCAATCGCCGTCGTTCATTTTGTTTAATGATATTTTATTTCCTTCTATACTACACTAATACCATTTTAATTGATAAATGTCTCTCGCAGTTTAAATCACTAAAGGCGAAGTACAATCTTAAACAAAATGTAAATAAAAGGTATAACTGACGGCAATCACCAGCTTCAAAGAAAACCAAGCTCACTTTCCTACGAAAAGAAATCAAGCTTGGGGGCAGCCATGACATATTCGACAATAAAAAAAAAAGCTGTCATAGACAGATATTTCCGGTTAAATCTACGTAATGTATAATAGAGACGTAACAACAACCTATTTTATATATCCATTATCTATTTTTATACTAGTTTTATGATCGTGGGATATGACATCTTACATTTTTTTATTTAATAAAAATATATAGTTCCCTATGGACGTTTTTCGAATTGTTGCACTATGAGATACATCACGTAGACACTATTCCTTAACGGCGCATAAGGACTTGAGAGGCTGCGGTGGACAATGACTTGGCGAGGAAAAATAAATCAGTTAGCTCATCGTGTGTAATTAATTCACAAAAATTTTATTTACTATGCCAATGGTGATTGATGATTTTCTTCCAAAGGTGGAATTACACGTCCAAAAAATGCAATGAATTGAATTCACGGCTTAGAAATCTAAACTAACTGACAGGCAGAGCATCACACCATGAAATACAATATACTTATTTATAAAACTAATCAGAATCAGCCAATAATTAAACGGTTTCGGAATAAAGCACACAGAACTATAACTGCTGCACCTCTATTAATCAGAAGAACTAAATTGCCTGGGAATGAGAGCGGTCAGGGAAGAAGTATAACAGAGAACAAGAGAGATATACTAATAGCTTGCAACAGCGCTACATGAGCCATTGAATTACAGAAGGGTAGTACGTCTTGCATGACATTTTATTCACTGATAAAAAAAAATATATAAAATGCGTCTAGAGGTACAGTTCCAGTCCCATCCGTGTCCCATCATCAGATTCCCACAACAAATCAGTTAGGGGTTTATTGAAGCGAGCGTATGATATAGAAATGGAATCGCTGAGATTTTTAGTATGAGATGAGACTGATGTAATAAGAGTAAAAATAATGTCATGTGAAAAACAAGTAGGTTGGGAAATAAAATTCGCGGGCAATACTAGAAAATTATCTAGCAACACTGATTACTTCACTCGCGCGCATTTATTTTTCACTGTCATGAAGTTATAGTAAATTGTTTATTATTTAGTTTAGTATATTAATTAGTCAGAGATTATATTTTCTATTATGAATAATGTTTTATTGTATTATAACAAATATTGGTAAAGTGTAAAGCTGCTAATATAGGGATTATAACAAAAATTCACTCGTGTTATAATATGAATCACCAACCAACTGGATTTCGCCTTATGAAAAAGTACGCGAATTATGTATTGCATTGTATAATTGCATAATGTTATCACAAAATGTATGACGATGACAACATTTCTTGTACTCCAAAGCGGTATGCGCTTTCCGAAGTCACAAATTCACCGAATTATGTGTCGCCGACAGCTAACCTAAAGTTACTGACTAGTGTCGCATTGCAATATCCTACACCGCCGCCAAGCATCGTCCACCGCAAAGAAAAGTCTCTGCAAATACTATGCGACAGGTACTGTGCAATTACCCTTTCAAATATACAGAAACTTATAATTACTAAATTAAATAATACTTAACTACTCGGAATTGTCGAACACATTTATTTACATTTTTAATTGGGTACCAGGCGAGAAAAACTACACACAGAGATGACCAATTAATTAATTTTTAAAAAGGAGATTGATAATTTATACCTTCCGTAATACAAATAATCTTCATTCAAATAAACTTGATATAAGCACTTGAATAGTCAAAATTTTTATTCTATCACACATTCAGAATACAGACTCATACATATAATGAACAGGAATTTTGCATGTTGCTGTTTTAAGTAGTTGTGTTACTGCATTGCATGTTTAAGATTTTTATGTGAATAGTTACTTGAGTAATAAAATAAATCAGTCATAATAATCAGAGCAAACCAGTCCCTACAAGCCGCACCTGTTCATGAGTGTAACAAGTGAGCGAGCCATCATAACACTCAAACATATTTATTCTAGCCCAGTCACCAGTCCCACCACACCAAGTTATAATTTTCTTTATATTTCACAGATTTCTTAGCCTTTTTCCTCTACATGTAAACAGCAGTCTCGAAATTCAATTGGACACTACTGCAGCCCGGTTGGGTGTAGAAAAGCGAAGAATGTATGATATAATAAATATTTTGGAAGCTATGCAATGTGCTGTTCATAAAAGGAAGAACACATATCTGTGGTATGGTGGATCAAGGCTGAACTCTTTTTTGAAGACATTAAAGAAACAAGGAGAGCATCTGAAACTGTCGGAAGCCCTCCGTGGCAGAGCACCTAAGCCACCTGCTCCTAAACATAAAACACTGGGAATCTTAGCTCAACGATTCCTGATGCTATTCTTAGTAGAACCTCCTGTAAGTACTGACTATTGTTTCTTGTAATATATATTTAAAGCTCAATAGTTTTATCTCACTAAACTAAGGTACTAGTTCAAATTAAAAAAATATTTTAATGTTAGATAACCTAATTATTGATAAAGGATATATAACATCAAGACTAAAGCATGTCAAATAAATGATATTTTTAAGTTTAACCATTTTATGATTAACCCTTCGATCATTTTGACACAGATCTGTGCACCCCCCTTATACAGTATTACTGTCTTGTCACATATCTGTGCCTGCAAAACCGTGATGTCTTTTTAACCAATTTTATCCTTTTAAAAAATAAAATAAAATTGAAACACATTTAAAAAAAAATAGGTACACTGCACACATACTGCCTCTTCTCTTTCAGTTGCAGCAACAGATGACAGACATTTGGGTTAACAATGAATAGCTGGATTCATTGTTAATCATAAAAATATAAATTATCATAAAACTCTTCTCTATTACCAATATAAATTTGTATTGAACAAAAATGAAATAGATTTTTGTTTGATGTGTCAATAATAATTCCCCTAGAGCATAGGACTTAAATAGTTTTTGAAATATAGTTGTATATAATTTTCTATTTACAGAACACATTAATAAATCTGGAGATGGCTGTAAGTGTCTTAATTGATACATCTACTAAAAATCAGACTGTACTCTCACCTGAACAACAGGATCGTCAACATAAGTCCAAAGTCAGGAGGCTGTATGATATAGCCAATGTATTTATTTCAGTTGGTCTCATAGAAAAGGTATCTGGCAATTCAATATTAAAGAAGCCAGTGTTTAAGTATATAGGGCCATTTAAAATTAAGAAATGTGATAAGTATGTCAACGCATCTATATTTGTAACTTCTAATGTGATCACTGCCACACCGTCCCCCATTACTCCGCTTGTACCAGCCGATATTCTGAAAACACCGACATTTCATGTGTCTGCTGGGAGGTCTAAAAGAAAGTTGGAATTCACAACTCCAAATTCCAGCAAAGAACTGAAACTTGGTGTCACCACACCACCCCACACTCCAACACATAAGTGGGATGAAATTTTACTGGTGGCTGACATGGAACTGACTAAGATTAATAATGGAACACTGTTGTGATTTATTATAAAAAAATCATAGTTTTATACATATTTTTGTATACTTTATAGTCTTCCAGGGGATCTATAAGTCTCATATATTATTTAAAATGTTTTATTTAATAACAAAATTACATAAACTATGTTCCTATAGTTAAATTTATTGTTATTTAAAGCAGAAATTTTATCATTGTCCCAGACAATAAATTAAAAAGTGCAATGAAGTAACTGTTATATCATAAAAAATACCTGTATTTATGGGGTTTTTTATGATAATGTATAAAATATAATGTTTAAATGAACTTTTGATTAATGATGATTATATTTTATTGATTGTTTATGTGGCAAGTGTCACAAAATCCTCCAAGTATATACATGTTTATTCTACAAATTAAGGATCAAAATCAATGAGTTTTTGAACGGATCATATTGCTGCTGTCAAGACATTTACAGAAACATGAATGAACTGTTATAAATGTATATTTTTTATTCAAGCATTTGTTTGTTCTTAAACTGCCATTTTTGTTTTTAATATCGCAAAAGTGCCAACCTGATTAGTCAATTCTGTTTAGTAGGAGTACTTAGTAAGAGGACTTATTTTTTTTTCTAATATAGTAAGGTAATCTGATATTTTCATTATGTTCTACTAAAATATTAGAAAAAATTTAATTATTACATGACAGATGAGGAAAAATTTAAGAAATATTAATTAATATATAAATGAATAAAATAAGTTTCCTATTCAAACTGGTTACATATGTAAAATATAATTTTGCAACTAGATGTTACTTGTTCTTATAGTTTATGTATGTATTGTTGAGTATTTTAGCGCATGTTTTGAGTTTGAACTTTTATTTGCATTATAATGTGTTGGCATTTCCTGCCTCCTTCATTTTACAAATAAAATATGTTTTGTTTCTATCTTATATATGTATTTGATAAAATGCATATATTGTGCATTCATAGTACAACCAAAACGGCTGTTCACCTTTTCGCCAAAATAGTTTTGAAATCGACCTTCCTTATCTTTAAAGCCTAGTTTTAAATTTATAATAAATCTCAGTTAGCAGCAATATGATTAATATATGGAGTAATCAATATAGGAAAAATTATACGAAGTAACTTTCTTATTGTGAAATGTAAATATTTTGTAAAAGCAGATAATATTTAAGTGTTAAAATGAAATAACATGGTATGTATACAAAATATTAATGTTATTTTATTATTGGGTTGCCAGTTGTGCTTTAACTGTATAGCACTTATAACCAACCCTCAGAGTATTATAACTTTGCCCCTGGGAGAGTCCTGGGACTGACTTTATATAAGTAACAATGACAATTACTTTGACATAATATATTGTTTTAATAATGTTTTCTTAAAACGCAGCTTGTTTATGTTATGGTTTTTAGTTCATTTAGTACACAATGAATTTATGCATTAATAATTATGTCAGGTTTATGTATTTTCACCCTGCAAAGAGTTATACGCATGATTTCCATTTGGTGTTATGCATAATAAAATGAACTATAAATAGGTTTATTAAAATAAATTATGCGTAAAGTGAGGAATAACTCAATATTCTTGTTTGACGTAAAATATATACCTAAGTCTATTTTTTATCTCTGAAGATTTATACTTATACCTAAAATTGGTGTATTATTAATGAACAAATATTGAACATTTTAACAATCAATGTGATCCAAGAAGAGATAGAACAATAAATTTATTAGAGAACTATATTTTAATTTTCGCTGTATAATTTGTTTGTAGTTACTAACTGGTCTATTTTGAAGTCTAATCTCAATATCGATTTAAATTCAATCTATTTTTGTGCGTTTATTTGGAACATTAATGAAAACTAAACCGAATAAATAGATAACAGTGTTACTTAGTTCATTTATTAAACACGAAATATGGAATATAATATTGCTAGTGTATACAAAGGAAATACGTGAAAAGCGAAACTATACAAAACATTGTCGTTCTAAATTAGAATCATTGTCAGTGTAGGCCAGTTGTTGGCGGATTAGCTCATATTTTTCCATGCCTATGAATACATGTTTGCTAAACGATCCATGATGTTTGTATGAATGCAGCCTGTCTTCCAAACTCTAATAGAGTGAAAATACAAGTTTTATAATGTAAAAGATTTATGACAAGTTGCTTTATTATTTACTATTTGTTTTAAGCTCTAGGTCTATTAAACGATTTGAAATTAATAGATTGTCTTATTGCTTACCCTATTACTCCAATGTATCGGATAAGTGACATGTAACGGTAAGTCTTTCATTCAGTTTTCGTTTTGCTTATAATCAATCATTTATTAATATTCTATTATTAATCCTAATTACCTCTGAAGAAAATAAAAGCGGGATTTCCCATTTGCCTGCTGTGGGTTATAACTTCATCCAATTGAGGGAACAGGGTTAATAATGTGAACTAATACACCAATGCTAGCAAAGTACCGTGTCAGGTTGTGCTCCACGCGGTACCCCCTGGAAATCATTGTGATAAATTCCTGGTAATTTGCTAGAATGGGCTGATCTCACTCGTCAATATTTTATCTTAACGTCCTCCACTGGTGCCCTGCTAGCGTAAAACAGTTATCGCAAGCGTGGACCATTCCATTAATACTAATAAAAAAAACAAAATGTCCTGGTATGAACGAAACAAATAAAACTACAAATTATTAATGTACAGAACTATTTATATACATGTCATTGACGAAAACAGTGTTTTAAAACAAGTAAGTATCAAAATTTTTATATGTATACATTTTACAGTATGTACAAGATATACGTAATAAGAAATAAGTTTGCAATCACATAGAGAGATTAAACTAGTATATTAATTACTCAATCACCCTGAACTAATTTCAAGTAATTTCGGCATACAACATTAATATTTTAATCTCTAATTTTAAATAGTTTAATATAACTTCCCGTTTTTAGAAGTAAATACCACATCATTACATATTGTTTTATAATTAACTTACCAACTCATCCTTATTTTGAATTACAAATTTCGATAAATATACTGTTTACGCACAGAAAAAATATAATTAGAAATTAAACATGGTTTTGGATTAGGACACCAAAATAAGTAATTAATTATATAGCAAAATAAATAAATTCAGGCCTTACCTACTTTCAGTGGCTTTCTCTATTGATTATTCACGTTTGATATATTTCGAGACTATAATAATATGAAGCCTGTTGTAATATAAATTAGTGTCACAATGCAGTTAGTGAAAAGCTGACTTAAATGTGTTATAATGATTATCTTATCGATATTTAGCTTATAAGATAGAAAATACGTTTATACATTATTTACCTATAATTTTAAATAGATATTATATTTTTTTTTCAAAATTTCACGCACAAACAATCTTTGAAATTAAAATTAGATGGAAGATCTAAGAGTTTGAAACAATAATGCATAAGAATATAATAAGTACTATAAATTACAATTAAGCTATAATTAAAAAATGCTATCAACATTCTCAAAAATATAATAGTGAGCAGTGTCTAATTGTTTTTCTACAACATTTTGACTCCAATTGACTACGGCAAGAATTAATTAATAATGAACTAAAAAAATACCAATACTTACAATTTTAATACGTTTATAAATAATTATTTAATTATATACATTTATTACATATTCCCTGGTACTGTGTGAGATACCCACAGAAACAAGTATTAAAGAAAACAGATAAGTAATATGGCTTTTATGGAACTGGTGGTGAGTGAGACGTCGAGATGCGACCGGGTGGCGGTAGAAACAGTGGTAAGTAACTCTGTCACACTTGCTCAATCATTGGGAACTGATCCGAGTCGTTGGTAACGGGCAATGTCTCCGAGTCAAAGAAACTCGCGTGCAGCGCCACCACTGTCACAGTTGCGCCTGAAATACAAAATAGGTAACTAAATATACAATATTATATTGATTATTTAATTGAGAATATAAAAGCTATCACATTGGCAAAGACACTACTACTCATCTACATAGTTCATAACCAAATTAAAAATTGATTCGTAGCCTATAAAGACCAGAGCATACATACATATTGGGATGCCTGCCTTTTAAGCTATCGTTTAGTAAACTTATTATTATTTTGAAAATAGAACTAGGCTACTGCAATTTCGGATCTGATTTGAGTCTATATAACAGTAATATAATATAAATTATAATGGCACTGTTATCAGATGTAACCACGGTCATTTGCACATAACGTCGTCATGTGACGTTCATTGCGTTTTCCTTTAATTTCACTAACCTATTTTACACTTTAAACCGAAATACGATTTACGAAGCAAGCCATGCCATAGGTGAGAGTATCGGATCGGAAATGTAAAATACCAACTTACCGAGAACCCAGAAGAGAACTGCTCCAGCACCAGCAAGCCAACACAAGGCCATGGAACCAGCGGCCGCTAATCCGTACTGCTGTGTCTTCGTTAATTCCCAACTACCAATCTAAATACAAATAGATAGGATTAGATTTTCGTCATAGAGGCAATATACTTAAGGAAAATGTTGCGCTACAAGAAGTAATAATAAAGATAAATTTGAGCCAGTTATTTTTTACTTTCTGCTTGCAGAACAATATTTAAAACCAACCAATACTTTTTCAATCAATAGTCATCGCACAAGGTGCTGGGCGGGAATTTCGTAGCTCGTACAGTGAGAATTTTAATTACAAATCCTGTGTCACCTTTATTATTTTTCTAATTTGTTTAACGCACAATGAACAATATATTATTACGGATAGCTCGTAATAAGTTCGAGCATACAAAGTATTTCATACTATTCATAAGACGAAACAAAATATGAAATAAAATATGGTATGTATAAAATTTTTAGAAACAATGATCACTAAATGTGTTAAACTAAACAATGACAATAAATCTATTGTACCCCAGACTATTCTGTATTGTTTAATTGTATACATTACAGCTAAGGAGTATATAAAGCTCCTTTTGGAAGCACGGCGATTTTGTAATCAGATTTCTTAATGTAAAACTGCATTTATTGTAGAAAAACTACTGATAACTTACTTTAGGCTGGAAATAATAATTAATCGTTTGTTAATTTAACATTTTATTTTATTTTATTTTCATATACCGACTTCAATAAATATAACTTTTACCTTCATCTGGGCCTCTTAAACACATTTGGCACTAGCATAGATTGCCATCGATTCTATTCTACCTACAAAATACCATTAACTCACCTTCCAAGTATTAGGTCCGGAAGTCAGTTTTCTATATCCGAAAAAACTCGCTACCATAGCTATTAGCAGCAAAGGAGATGTAATGCTGTAAAATACACATAGTAAGTTTAGATAATGAATAAAAACTATTCTATGTAAATATAGCCTAGGATCTATTTGAATCAGAAATTGAATTAAAATCTGTTTAATCGTAACACAACAATAGTAATTTCAATATTAATTGAAATTACTACCGTTGTGACCTTTAACAAGAAGCTTCTTTAAAATTGGATTCACTAAGGTTAAGCCTGGCTAATGATGCGGCCGACCCTGCCTTTGAAACAGGCCAATCCAATAGATGACTAACAAAATCTACCTTCTTAGAAGTTAAGATAGATGAATCCGAAATTTAAAGCCTATGTAAAAAAAATAGAGCCATTGTCAACTATCGCTGTTGTTGCTATCATAAATAATGATGAATTCAATTTAAAAAACGAAACAGCTTGTTTATGCTGTACTTACAGACAATATGCAAATAATCCCAGGAAAACCACTAAGTAATTAGCTTGAAAATATTCAATGTTTCTATAAAATCGTCGTGAAAGTCGCGGTATTGAGGGTGGAGCCTGTAACAATACATTATTTTTATTAAATACCATTGATATCATAATATAGGAAACTCGTTAAAATTCAGAATAACAGGTACATTTATCCAAACAAAAAAAACCTATTAAAAGAAATGTTTGGTATATAGGATTTATGTTTTCGGAAACTTTTAGTTTGGAAAACAGAACACTGGTGCTTACACCCGAAACAGTTTAAACTATTGCGTTGATACTACTACGGATAACAACAGTAAGTCCACAAACTAGCAAAATAATTCTCAAAAGATTCTATTTTCTCATACATATCATTTGAAATCACAAACAGACACCTCGACTATATCTACACATGTAGCACAAGTACTACAATTTATAAGTAAATAAAAGTCTTAACTAGCCGGTTGGTATATTGATAGCAAATCCACCACTAAAATACAGTTTAACATGAGCATGCGGATAAAGTCACTGTTAGAAGTTCGTTATGAAATAAAGAAAACTAATTCCCCTCACTTTAGCCACCAATTTTACGAGATTTTTTAATGATGATAAATAAGACCTTAAAGTTGTCTGTCGCAACAAATTGTGTCCATGGCCGCCGCGATGCGATGACGCCCATCAGCAATGCAGGACCAGCTCCACTGCGGACATGCTGAACAAGTCTATAAAATAAAGAGAGAATATTCATATTTAAAAAAACTGCTAAATAGATTGGATGCATTGACCCAAAGGCCTTAAGATTCATTATAAATATTGTGGTAATTTTGAAACCCATTTAATTCTAAATTTCATTCATTTGGTTCTAAAATTAAGCATATTCTCTTTATAGCAAATCTTCACTTTGTTTTATGTATTTGGAACAGCAAATTAATAACAATAACCCTGCAAAATTCATACAGTACCAAGTCTAGTTTTGGGACTAAGCAGAGCTTATGGGTGCTGGACAACTGATATAAAAACATACTTTTTATGTAAATACATACTACATAGTTTACATAAAAAGCAGCCAGATGAATACAAACAATCACACTCATACCCCACCTTATGGTAAGCAGTAATCATTGTATTATATACATGAACAACACTATCTTTTATCAACCACAATACAACTGATGTATTGCCATACCAGAAGATTCAGATGTTATGCTGCTTACTTAATCTGTAATTTTTCTGCTTAATCAGCATGCTACAAGTAAAACACAGCTTATAAAGCAAGGTGCTTAGCAGTTGAAGTAGGTACCCATGCAGAAGACAATTGCAGTTTACCTTTAGAGGCTTTCTTTAGAATTAATGTATAAATAATTGGCAATGGCAGTATCAACATCCATGTTGGCAATGAAGGTGTTGTCTTAGCATGACTGAGAGTATTGTTTAAGTAAAGCTTGTTACCAAATAATCCAGGGTGTTTCAAGCTCCAAATGCTGCTATAAATGATGCGTCTTGACTAAATCAATCTAAACAGTGATAGCTGATGACCATATAAATATAAATAAAACGGTATTGTAATTTTAGGCAATTTAAGGCAAAATTTATAGAGTTAAATATGTGATAAACTTTAATAGTAAAAAAATATTAAAATAAAGAAATTAAAACAACATACTATAATTATACAAAATCATTTTAATTAAACTTAAATAGGATTTTTGTTTACTTGTACTTTTCAAAATAGATTTTTAAATGTATGGCATTTTAATTTCCATTTTCCAATTACAAATTGACTATGATTCATACCAGTTCCTCTATGTTTCTTACATATAATTGTTGCTTAAAAACTCCAATACTATTTTAATAATTATATGGGAATGGAATGAACTTACTTATTATGTTAATTCATTTAATTTTAATATTTAAAATGCAGTAATTGCAGTTTTTTTTTTCTGTTCCTTGTATATCCGCAATCAGTAAGTGTACTATAATCAGATTGGTTGGTAAATGACTATGCAAGTCTGCAGTCCAGTGAGTGCACAACTTTTTATTTACATGATGCCTCCGGCGCTTTGATTAGATTTCAAGACCCGGAGTACACTTTATTCAACTCCAATATTTGTGTCATTTTCAGACGTTTTAGGGGGTTATTAACGAGTAACCTCTGGGCTAGCTCATTAGGGTGGACACTCAGCCGAGCCTTATATTTTGAGCTTGTGCTAGCAACCTCCTCTCGTACTGTTGGTAAATTCGAGAGTTGGTTATAAACCATGCTGCCTTAAGAATGGTATTTAAGACGGCGTTCTGGGACCGTTAGAGAATTTCAATGTTGGAGTTAAATGCAATAAGTTGATAATTATTTATGAAACATAAGGGACGAGTATGGGCTGGAACATGGTATAAGTGAAATTGTAGTTATATCAAAATACAATTAGGAATGATTAAAAAGCCAATTAATATACGAATTACTAATTATTACGGTAACCAATATTATGTAAATTTTGATATAACTAGAATTCATAAATTCCAATCTAATGTTAGTAAACACATTGATAATATAGATACTCACATATTTAGGCCAAAATTAACAACTGTTAACCATGAAAATGATAAGCAAATAAACACAAGCCTGAACACGTAAGTATCAAATGTTAGTGTAGACTTACAATTCCATATCATTGACATACTTTTGAAAGCCTCTCTTCTCCGTTGTTGCATTCATTTCTCCTGAAAGATCTATATTTACGTTTTCGGCCATTATGATTAGTCGTATTTAATAATTATTTACTTTACTCTAAAAATAAATAATAATAAATACGTTTTGAGATTGAGGAATATTGTATATTGAATTGACAATTAAATTGATTGAATGACGTGAGGACGTGACAGAGATGACATACGGCAAAATTGACCTTTAATTTGGCTGACACTAGTCACCCGCACATCCCTAGGCGGTGATGGATGGATTATTTTGATAATATCCACGATTACGACAAACAAGCATACGGCGTATCTGTTAGTATATGGTTACCATACCACAGAACACTGATACCATAACCTATGAACGCTAAGCTGTAATATAAGTGTACGCGGGAGAAAACTCCTCTGAAACTGCACTGCTTATTTCTCATCGCAGCCCGGAAGACGTCTACTGCTGGACATAGGCCTCCCCCAAAGATCTCCACGACGATCGGTCCTGTGCTGCTCGTATCCAATGCCTTCCAGCGATCTTGACCAGATCGTCGGTCCACCTTGCTGGAGGCCTTCCCACGCTGCGTCTTCCGGTTCGTGGTCGCCACTCGAGGACTTTACTGCCCCAACGGCCATCTGTCCTACGAGCTATGTGCCCTGCCCATTGCCACTTCAGAGTCGCAATTCTTCGGGCTATGTCGGTCACTTTGGTTCTTCTGCGGATCTCCTCATTTCTGATTCGATCACGCAGAGTAACTCCGAGCATAGCCCTCTCCATTGCCCTCTGAGTGACTCTGAGCTTGTTGATGGAGCCCATAGTTAGCGACCACGTCTCTGTTCACTGGCAACACACATTGGTCGTAAACCTTCGTCTTGAGACACTGCGGAATTTTGGACGAAAAGATATATCGGAGCTTCCCGAACGCTGCCCGTCCGAGTTGGATTCGACGATTGACCTCTTTCTCGAAATTGGATCTACCTAACTGGATAGTTTGCCCTAAGTATACGTAGTGATCGACAATTTCGAGTGTAGAATCTCCGATTTTTACGGGAGCAGGTACGACATGGACGTTTGACATAATTTTCGTCTTGTCCATGTTCATTTTAAGACCCACTCCTTGTGAGACTCTACTGAGGTCTTCGAGCATTTTGCTAAGGTCTTCCAGGGTCTCAGCCATGACCACGATATCGTCGGCAAATCGAAGGTGATTGATGTACTCGCCGTTAATGTTGATGCCAAGCCCGCTCCAGTCCAGAAGCTTGAAAACATCTTCCAACGCAGCAGTAAACAGCTTCGGCGATATGACATCGCCTTGTCCGACACCTCGCTGCAGTTGGATAGACTTCGAATTCTGGTCGTGGAGGCGAACTGACATAGTGGCGTTTTCATACAAACATTTCAACGCCTCGATATATCGATAGTCAATTTGGCACCGCTGCAGAGACTGTAGCACAGCCCACGTCTCGATCGAATCAAAGGCTTTTTCATAGTCCACAAACGCCAAGCAAAGTGGCAGGTTGTATTCTTCGGTCTTCTGAATTACCTGCCGCAGCGTATGAATGTGGTCTATGGTACTGAAGCCTTTTCGGAACCCGGCTTGTTCGGGAGGCTGGAAGTCGTCAAACCTGCGCGCGAGACGATTCGTGATGACTCTCGAAAACAACTTATAAACATGGCTCAGCAGTGTTACGGGTCTGAAATTCTTCAGAAGCGATTTGTCTCCCTTCTTGAAGAACAGAACCACCACACCTCTTTGCCATGCTTGAGGCGTTCTGCCCTCGAGGATGACGGAGTTGAATAGCTTCTGGAGGATACGTAAAACAGGTCTACCTCCAGCCCTCAGAAGCTCAGCAGTAACTCCATCATCGCCCGGCGCCTTGTTGTTTTTAAGTTGTTTAAGAGCCATACCAATCTCGTACAGGCTGACGTCCGGGATATCTTCGGTCTGCTTATTTCTATGGGCTGAATTACATATAATTTGTAGTAGTATTTCTTCTTCATATTAATAAAATTTTGTTAAGTTAGGAAAATATTTGCTATGTTTAATTTGCAGTGTCTAGTGCAGTTGCACTGTCCATCTATTTACTGATAACATTATTTTTGTAATTTTCGTTTCCCCCTCCCCCCATACCTCGCCTGGATACTTTGTAGATATGTGGATAAAAACAAATAAATCTTGTTGGCGATGGAATAAATAAATAATGTGTCCATTTCATAACATAGATAACTATTATATAATACCTACACGCAGAGCATATCTTACAAATGAAAATAAAAAACAGCCAGGAGTGCGTCGGACCCAGTATAAGACGGGTTTTATAGCTTATTTACCTGTCTGGTCTAACATGATGTTATAGCGGGTAGGAGATTGTTGGATATGGGGCTCCATCTAAGATATTAGACGCCACTGCTAGTAATAATGTCGTATCACATTGACCTCCACGTGGTCCCTCTTGGAACCCAGCCTGGCTGATTCATATATATATTCATTAATAAACCACGATGGACCGAAAGACCTTACTTCACCTTTGTTCTGTCATCCTCCATTATATACCGTTAAAACCGTCGGGTGGACCTATTCATACATAAATATAACTTTATGTCATATCTCAAACATTATGATTATAATAATTAAGTTTTTGTTTAGTAGGTGATAATGTTATGATCTACCCACCTGTGCTAACATTATACCTGGCTAGTCGCCATTATAGGATATTTTGAATTATTTTATTACGAAAATAAATTTACATCAATCATGACGACCTAGTCGGTTCCAAATGTTTAATATGTAATATATAGACGATTGTAATAGTTAAAGAAGAGTATGTAGGCTTTTTTGTCCAAGATTTCAGTAAATTATAGGATAAGATCCTTCAATAATTCAGAGTATTCAACTCTTCACCAGTATCTGCCACTTCATCTTAGCTCCTATAAACAAAATTTCCAAAATTGTTCCTTAATGAACAGATGCTATATCACCCGCAGCAAGTAGAGAGGACAGGGTGTCATTTTAAGATTATTATTTAATAAATACCGGTCCCGATCTTTTTTTGTGGTCTTCATTACATAGTATCTATAAAACTAAAGTCGCTGTCGCTGTCTATCCGTACCTATGTATGCTTAAATCTTTAAAACTTCGCAACGGATTTTGAAGCGGTTTCTTATTAAATAAAGTGATTCAAGAGGAAGGTTTATATGTATAATACATGTACACCCGGGCGAAGCCGGGGCAAGTAGCTAGTACACAATAAGAAAGAAAATAAATGTTTTGAATATCAACATCACATATCGATATGATAATATTTTGGCAGTCTTGTCAAGATAGTTAGGTACGTAGCTAATCAATTTAAAGTGGTTATATCCTAACTAATGTAATAAATGCGAAAGTGAGTTTGTTTGTTACGCTGAATAGATTATGATGAAATTTGGTTTCTTAACAGATCCGATGACCCTAGAGACGAATATAGGGGTTTTTCTGTCTTATAAGGGAGTGGATTATTTCGGTATGAAACCTTTTATTTAATCGTCCGATTTATTTTAACTTCAGCCTTTGCGGAATAAATGTTTATTAAATAAAAAACATTTATTATTAGATTAATAAGTGAAACGAAAACTTTATGCACCGCTTTCCGCTGACTAAGGAGTGTGAAATTTGGCGCCAGCAGAAAAGTGCAAAAATCTAATATTTTTTATAATAACACTGTACCTAAATGTCTTTAATAGATTAAAATTAATGAAAATTATATACACATTACTAGGCCTTGGATACACACACATAGTATACCTTAGCAATTAAAATTATCGTTAATTATTGTTAAATGTTGACCACTGAGACACTAGTAATAATAATTGATATTGCGAGTGAAGTCACAGAAAAAACTAGTATCGATGTACTGTGAACAATGACGAATCATATATTTTTCCAAGAGCCTACACATAGGTATAGGTATTTTTACCTATACATAGGTACAGATAGATTACTGAAACACAAATATTATTTAAGTAATCCGTGTCACATACAGCCTTCAATAGACTTAGGATAGACAATGAAGTCGGTTATCGTTTTTAGGTAAGTGTATTCAGTTGGAAAGTATATATACCAAAGTTATTATACATACCATCAAAATAAACATACAACTAGATGTAACTTGCGGTAGTGATTTAAATAATTTTAGTGATTTAATTAATTTTAAACTTAAAAAACGTCGGCACAGAAAAGAGAAATAAATTACTTCTCTGTTCCTCTTACTTATCTCTCTCCGTCTCTTCTAAATCCAGAGATATCAACAATAGAGGGTTTTCATACAAAAGCTATATTTTTGACTCTCAGTACAAGGATATTTTCATCCTCTTTGAAGTTTGTACCTGATCTTGACCTACGAAAAACCGGCAAAACTCGGTAAAGTACCAGGTCAGTCAGCCAGATTCAGATAATATAGAGGCATATTCAGATTAATTTTTGAAATCGGTTCAGTAATTTTTGGGTTTATTAGTTACAACAGTAGACAAATATTAAAATAAAAAAAACTATAAGTTATTTTCTATTCCAGTTTAGCAGTGGTGAGCTGCTGCGCGCTGCCGTCAAAGCAAGATAGAAAGTTTCCAGATGACTTTATTTTCGGAACCGCCACCGCGTCCTACCAAATAGAGGGAGGATGGAATGCAGATGGTAATTTCATTTTTCTTTTCCCCTTCACTTTTTTCTTAATATTTATGAACCTTTATATAGCTAATTAGGTACGTAGGTATATTAGGCGCATTAAAGGTTACCAGTGTTAGGTGCCTATCTAGTATATTTTTAATGAATGATAATGGAATGGTGCTCACGACTGCGCTAATGGTTTACACTGGCTGGGCAACAATGGAGGATGATAAGATGAATATGAGGTCAGGTCTGTTAGTCCATCGTGACAAATTAATCAGGAATTTCCCCTTCTCTCCAAGGTACTAGGACCTTTATGAGTTACGTAGATATTGTATATTCAAATTGATATACAAAGAAATATAGTCATATTACGAAATTCGTTTTATTTCAGGCAAAGGCGAAAATATTTGGGACTATATGACTCATAACACTCCCGAAGTAATAAAAGACCAATCCAATGGAGACATCGCAGCTGACAGCTATACCAACTATAAGCGAGATGTCGAAATGATGAGAGAACTGGGTTTGGACGCTTACCGTTTCTCTTTATCTTGGTCTAGAATCTTACCTAATGGCTTCTCAAACCAGATTAGTGAAGCTGGTATTGCCTTCTATAATAACTACATCAATGAAATGCTGAAATATAATATTACGCCCATGATTACACTATATCATTGGGATTTGCCGCAAAGGCTCTCAGAGTTGGGTGGATTTACGAATCCACTATTTACAGATTGGTTCGAGGACTATGCCCGTGTTGCATATGAAGAGTTCGGTGACAGAGTTAAACATTGGATTACATTCAATGAACCGAGGGAAATTTGCTATGAAGGCTATGGTAGTACTACAAAAGCACCTCGAGCGAACGTCACTGATATTGCAACTTACATCTGTGCTAAGAATCTAGTTATTGCTCATGCAAAAGCATATTATGCGTATGTTAACGATTTCAAAGATAGTCAAGGTGGTGAATGTGGTATTACTATCAGTGTCAATTGGTTTGGTCCACTAACAGATTCAGAGGAAGATGAAGCGGCTGCCGAAATTAAACGCCAAGCCGAAGTTAGTACGGTATCTCACAAGTTTCTTATGACTTTTTAAGTAAATTTCTTAATAGTTAATTTTAAACTTTCGTGTTTAATATACATTATTTAAATTATTAACCGGGTCTTAACACGAATAATTTTATGACAAATAAAGGTATTTACCTCTCTCGACGTTTCGACTAGGTTGCACTAGCCGTGGTCACGAGCTGACTGGAGTAACAGCGATGTCAATGTAGATAGGTGACAGCAGTTTTTTCTTCATCTACCGTCACTACCTTTATTTTATTATATTTTATACCGTAATACCTTTATTTGCCATAAAATTATTCGTGTTTAGACCCGGTTAATAATTTAAATAATGTAAATTTCTTAATATATATCATACATTGATATATACAATTTTATTTTCAGTGGGGTCTGTATGCAGAACCAATATATTCACAACAAGGTGGTTTTCCCAAAGAATTTTCCGAATTAGTAGCCAAAAAAAGTGACGAACAGGGATACCCACGTTCGCGAATGCCGGAATTTACAGAAGAAGAAAAGTCGTATGTCAATGGTGCTTATGATTTTTTTGGTGTAAATCACTACACTTCCTATTTAATTTCGGCAACCGAATATTTGGATGACTCTACTGCGCCATCGTTGTACAGTGACGCTGGCGTCGGGTCATACACTCCGCCTGAGTGGCCTCTTTCAGCGTCTTCTTGGCTAAGGGTCAGTGTCATTAAATTCTAGCAAAAATAAATTTATTTGAGGACAACGTTCTAATTTATTTTTCTTTCTGCTTTCATGAATAGGTGCTAATAATTTCTTAAAGTATGATAGCGTAGCGGTTTGTATTGATTGCCGCATGCATTCTTATGTACTATAACTACCATAGGATAATTTTTAGTAGCTATGACGTGGTCGAGTGGATTGAGTAATCAATAGTAGGCGGCGTGGTAGTTTCTTGGTCATTCTTCTTGTGATAAGACAGCTTTCCGAATGAGCGGTATATTAACAGAAAACTATGACTAATCAAACGTGCCTAAATTAAGTTTGTTTGAATAAATGATTTTCTATTAGAATGTTCACAGTCGAAAAAAAATGTTTCTTTCAACTGATGTCAGTATATCTCTTTCAGCTGGCTCCTAATAGTATTTATAATGCACTTACACATTTAAAAGAGAAATATGGTGACATCAAATTTTATATAACTGAGAATGGATGGTCGGAAACCAGTGGTGGTGATGATTACAACAGAATTAAATATCAGAGGGCTGCATTGGAAAGTGTCTTGGATAGTATAGATGCTGGCGTTAATCTTAGAGGGTACATGTTTTGGAGTTTGATGGATAACTTTGAATGGATGGAGGGTTACACGTAAGTTAAGAAATATTTTCAATACGAACTAATTTATATCTTTCTGTATATTTATCGAATCTAATGTTACAGAGGGAGGATTGTATATGCTTATTTTACGTTGATAGAGTGCTTTGGTTTTTTATGAAATTGTGCACTGGTTTACGCAGGCACCAGGTAGGGATGATACTGTAGAATAAGAATGAAGTCAGATCAATTAACCCCTCGCGACGAATTCACCAAGAACGAATCATCCTTCATAATGGTTTCCAGAAGGAACTGCGTGGAGGTCACCCTAGCATGATACATTGCTAGCAATGGGGTCACTGGTCCACGTTACTAACAATTCAAACCCACTTAGAGTGATTTGTTTTTAAAATAAATACTATTGCTTCATCAAAATGTACATTTGACGAAACGTAGTATATAAATACATTTTTTACATGTTACTCATTTCTTACAGAGAACGATTTGGTCTCTATTCCGTTGATTTCGAAGACCCAGCCCGCACCCGAACACCGAACAAATCGGCCTTTGTTTACAAGCAAATAATAAAAACACGTGTCATTGATCATGATTATGAACCAGATTCAACAACGATGACCATTGACCAAGGTAGATAAATCATTGATTCTCCTCTGAGTCAACTGAATTAAATAAAATAACTGTAAGCAATGCAAATATTATTATGTATTGTAGGTACCTACATATTATAATTATTAAACGAAATTATAATTGTTTTTATTTATATATGTACCTAACTTACCTACTGTTAAAGACAACAACACATTTATGTGTTAAATCTCACTCAAAGGAGAATATGAGGGGTCATTAGTGAACCTTACTAATATTATAAACGCGAAAGTTTCGGAGTATGCATAGATAGATGGATGTTTATTACTCTTTCACGCAATAATTACTGAATGGATATTAATGAAAGTTTAAATTTACGAACATTATTACTAACTTATACCTCAGAATAACACACATGCTACAAATTTTATGCGAATTAAACCGCGTGCATAGCTAATAATGCAAATATCACTGTTATATTGGTTGTACTGATCTATGTACCTAATTACAACTGTAAAATCGTCCGTACATATCTAAGTAATTTCAAAAGAGAAATGTTAATAATAGCGATACTTTTTAATTGGTAAATTATATGCTTTTATACGGAGGTACGCTTTTTCTCGAGGGAAAGAATGTTATTACATGTAAGAGTAGACAAAGGTGATCAAAACATCAGAAGAAACACATCCACGCCGATTATGCGATATTATAGAAAACGATGTGAATACATCGATAATATTGCACTAAAACATCGATTAATATCGAGATCCTTATTGATTTGAGGTAGTCTTAATAGTATTAGACATTTATTTAGTCTGTGGAAGTTGAGAATATAATTACCTAAGTAGTCTGTGACATTAACAATGTGTAGTTCAGTTATAGCTGAATGTATGAAGAACTAATTACTAAACGAAGTGGTTACTCGTTACTACGGTATCGTTCGTTACTAAGATTTTTATTACAACAAGAATTAAAATTTTGAATGTATCAACGTATTGTTACGTCACTATTTAGTTTAAATACATTGAATCTCTATACCACAGAGTACAAATTTATATCGACTAGATCGGTCGGTACTGAAAAATGTATACTGACTAATTCAATAAATTAATATATATAAGGCACAAGTACCACATATTCCGGTCATCTTAATTTGATGCTAGGTTTTAATATAAATACATAATTACAATGTTTTTTTCTTGTAAGTTTATATATAAATAGAGTACATGCATATAATTATATACACTGTACACCCGCAAGAAATTATAGTAGGTACTCCATTAAACACAGGCCAACAACAGACATCGTATAATAAAATTATACGATGTCTGTTGTTGGCCTGTGTATATATATTATTATTCACATAAATTTTTTGTAAAGAAAAATGTACTAAGAGAATCAAATAAATGTGTGTAATGTAACGTTAATAAAAACGGTAAGTAACTAGAAGAATTCCGAAGTACCTAAGTTATAGTTACTTTGTGCTCGGTACGTTTCATTTCATTTGTAACAGAAAGAACAGTTGATTTAATAATTTCTTCCGTTTAGTTTGTGTTGATTATTATAAATGTAGAAATAGCCTTTGCTGAATATTATATCAATATTTATTAAAAATTGTATTTCTACTCTGCAGTTGTAATGATTTTAAGTATTATTTTGTCTACATATTTGTTAGTAACTACATCAGAATCAAATAAAGAATTTGCTTTAATACAACCACATCAAGAAGCAATAGATGGTAAGTGCACATCATTTAATTTTTTAAGTAACTGTCTATTAAATAATTTACTGTTATGGTAGTACATAATAAGTCATATATTTTTATTTCAGAATTAATTCTATGTCGTAATTGTGGTAACGATGTCACAGCCGCTAATTTCATAATTAATAAAATCAGCCCTGAATCTGATTACACTTTCAATGACACTTTATTCAATAGGCCTGAGGTTATGGTTCAGATGATATTTAGTGATTTTTTCATCCATTTCCCTATAGTAACAACTGACCAGTCAACTTGTATGCCTGTAGGAGAGGTAATAATATAAATTAAATAATTGTCTATTGGGTAGAGTTTGTATAAAAATTATAAGTATTATGTACATTTACAGTGGAATGACATTGACTCTTGGTTTCCTGACTATATTTGGAAGCCATGTGTGTGCCCTGAGTGTGGTGCATATTTAGGCCGGGTGTTTAAACACACCAATCCTAGTAACGTAAATACATCAGATCCATTTTATGGTCTCATATTGGAGAGCCTGATTGGTGAAACTTGTAAATACAATTTTATATAATAGGGTTTTGGCAAACTTTTTGTTGTTTTATGTATTTGATAACTATCTTATTTGATTAGGTTTATTAGCATTTACTATTGTAAAGTTAAGTGTCTTTGTATGTTTTGGCCAATGTGTTTGTTGTGTTTATTTCCATCATGTGATGTTACATTTAGTCTAAATTCCTTGTTAGGAATATCCTGTGGTACATTACATTCGTTCTATATTTATAGTTGCAGTAATCATGCACTGTTGTACCTTGTTCTTTTAGCTAACCAAAGCAAAACACTATTATTTAGTTTGTGGTGTTGCTACTTATTAATAAACTGGAAAATAACTCTCCCGATGTCAATGACAAAGTAATATTTTTATATATGTTACACATACTAATATAATCAGTTTATTTATCAATCCCTTTATTGATTACATGAATTATGATTAGTTAAGATAAATATTTAAAAAACTACATATACCTATGTGCTGTAATACATTTATCTTAACTATTAAGCATTTTAGATATAAAAATAAGTTAATTACTTGTATAGAGTAATTTATTAACTCTATTTGATCTTAACAACTGTTTTTTTAAACACTACATATATTACAAAATAAAAATAATCTGTTTTTGTATTCTTGGTTCCTTCTCTACTATAGTAGTATATAACTAAATAGCACCATATACAGAAATTTAATATTGTCATGTCTATTTTTGTAAAAATACTGTTGCTGCTTCTTTTGTTTTGTTTGTGTTTTGGGAACTTATGACATATTGGCTGGTAATTCTAAATTCAGTAACAAGCATCACTAGTCTGATGTTGAATAATTTGTGATCATTTTGTTCATTTATGTGTATATATTATGTCAAAGTCCTTGAATTCTAATAAATACAATTTCTATCTAATATTGACATGCAACTGTTTTCTTAGTTACAGATTCTATAATTGAATATCCAACTATTTTGGTTAACTAATAATGGCTGCAACTGACAGCCTTACTGATGAGGATAAGGAGTTTTTAGCTAAATGTGAAGAAGAACTGAAAGACAGATATACAGATAAAGATGAAGAGTTCATGAAGGTGTTTAATGCAGATGCCCCTAAGCCTCCAATTATACCATCATGGTGGGTACCACAGGGTGGTGGTAGAAGACATGATAGACGTAATAATAGACGTGATCATCACTATGATAGGTATAGCCCCAGAGACGACAGGAGAGGACACCACCCATACAGGGATAACCACAGTCGGAGGCCTTATCATGACAACAATTATGGTGGCAGAGGTTATGGACACTGGAATTAATAACTCATAACATGAATATTGTATTTGGTTATTATGGATGTGTTGTTATAAAAAAATAAAATCATCTATTTTTCAAAAGAATATATTCTCAATTATTATGGCTTGATTCACATTTTAACAACTTAGATTACACAATAAATCACCAATAAAATAATGTGGCTACAGTAATCGTAAGGTGAAAATCATAACACAATAAATAAATATTAAATTTTTTCACTGCTACTCAACAAGTCTAATGATTATAAATTTGTAACAATAATTATGCCGATATAATTTTTATTTAAACCTAAGATTCATAACTATTATGTTTCTTATGTGTGCAAACAATTAACAATGTCAAAATAGAATTTATGGATACACACACGCGCATAATCAGATTTTTCTAATAGTCAATAGGATACCTTTATTTATAATGGTGACAATTAATATTGTTTAATTTTCGATGCTTGTACTTTCTACCATCAACACAACCTTGAACGCGTGGCTTTTCACAAAAATATATCTCTTTACTAATCTCACATAGCAATAAATTGTTATATACACGAAAACAAGCCCTTGCCCGCATAGGAGCAACAGAAGCGCGATGTGCGACGAGCCTGCTCCCACATCTGACAAATAAATAATTTTATAGGACCAGATAAATCTGAGTAACATCATGCTAAGTGACACGATTCTAAGCACAATGACGATTACATTCATCAAGCTCTCTAAGATAACTATTTAAAATATCTTCACTATTTAATTAATTTTACATACCGGCTACTAATTTTCTGTACTGAAGCATATCATAAAAATAATGTTATACAATTTACGGAATACAAATCACTCATTAGTGTTGCTATTCAGGCGTAACATGTAATGAACATTCACTGCAGACTAAAACGTATGACATTAACTAAATCTACACATGAAATGAGAATGCTTCAATATTATAATAAAATGCAACCATTAATCAAATCACAGTGAAAGTGTACATAATAACCAGAATTATGCTCACTAACTTAATATTATGACTCAACACAAACAATCGATACATATACATAGCTACATAACAACATAACAATCATTTACACAAATAAAAAAACTACTAATTCATGATCATTCCTAATTTATACTTTTATTCTATCTCAGTCCAGGTCGGCCATAACAAGCCTGAGACGACCACCGGACTAGCCTCATTTCATTTCACACAAATCAATAGATATTTCGATGCGTAACACTGGAGAAATAAAAAAAAATTGCATCTAAATACAATGATGAATACTTCGTTAGTTATAAACTTCTACATAACATTATACAATGATTTTTTGATTGTTACAAATATCTTTTAATCCTTAACACCGATGCACAATATTATTTGTATGAATTGACACGTAATCATTATCGAATTGCTCGCGTACGACACGAGCGGTGCGGCGGCGTTATCCAAGCCCACCGCGTACAGTCAGTTTCGTAGAGACCAGAGCGTCGTTGACGATCAAAATTTTCCATAGACACATTCAATTTCATATAAGGATATATCCTTTGATTAGTTTGATTTACAGAGCAGAGTACATTTGATAACTTTTGTTTCCTACACATTAATGTCCGTCGCGCGATTAATATCTTTATGAAGCCGACTGTACCGTAGCGCGACAGTGCAGCAAGACGATCTACTCATCTACCATAGAGTTCCTCATAATGAGCTCTTTCTATTCCATCACTTTCAACTTAATACAAACGACAATTGACTAGGATTAATGCACTTGCTCATCGAGGTGGCGCGAGCGGCGACAGTGCGCGCTTCGCCGGCACTCCATCCGAACGCCTCTAAATTCGGGGAGGGTGAAAACATTGGTCGGGTTCAGTACATTTGACTAGAAATGCGCGTAGACGTTTCGATATCGTCCTCATTGCGGCCGATCGTCACGACGCGCCCTTACGTTTCAAGTCATAATGCGAGTACAAAATCGTTTTCAGACTCATCAGTACTAAAGTCGAATGATTGACTTGTAAAAGTGTCAAATCTTCGTCGCTAATTTCATAAGATAATCTAAAGCTTAATTTGATTTGAAAGTAGAAACGTGGAGCGCTTCAGCCCCTGCGGGCGGTGGCGGCGTCGCGCGAGACGGCGAGGAGGCGTGGTGGACGCTCGCCGCTCAGATGAAGGTCCAGCACTCCATGATCTTGACTATGAAGTCCTCGCGAGTGGTGAGCGGATCGTTGCCGTACGTGGTGCAGCGCTGTGTGCGCCCCAAGTACAAGTCGCCGTCTAGCCACAGGCCGAATTTGCCGCTGTAACATCATTTGAAAATTAATATCTTACTAATTTTACTTAAATTAATAAACGCGGAAGTTTATGAGCGTGAATTACTCAATGGATTTTAATGAAACTTTACAACAATATATAGCAGATTTAACACATAGGGCTATGAATTACACGCGAGTGAAAACGCGGGCACTTCTAGTTAATTTTATATACCTTCACGACGGTATATAGTCGGTCAATATCAACTAACAACATCCTTGAGAACACAACATTTCTTACTAATATTATAGAAGCGAAATATTGTGATTATGGATGGATGGATGGATGGATGTTTGTTACTCTTTCACACTAAAACTACGGAACTATACCTACATCAGAATAATAACATAGGCATAATTTAAAAATATATGTAAACTGGGCGAAATATAATGATAAATATCAAGTAAAGTGTCCAGTAGTGTGACGTAGTCGAAGTTACGCGGGTTAGCTAGTTAGTCACATAAGTATATTTACATCCAAATGGTACCGCAAGGGCAAGCCTACTGTCGTCTCTCGGATTACCTTTAGGATCTTAGTTGGCGCAGTAATACGCTAACTGACGCTATATGCCATTAATTTGGTCTTTCATTCAATACCATTAAAACTAACCATGTTATATGTAGTCAAGTAAAAATAACTTTATACTCACTCGCCAGCGCCAATAGATATGTTGTCTGTGCTTCCTCGAATAAAGTACATGTTGTCACCAGTCCAACCCCAATATTTGAATTTCGTTTTAACTGGCGTGGGTTGATCTGAAAAAGAGTTTATTTTTTATTTCTGACGACCTCGGTGGTCCAGCGGTCTAGTACACCGCTTTACGACCGATGGTCGCGGGTTCGATTCCTCGCACGGCACAAACATTTGTATTCATGAGTATGATTGTTTGTATCGGTCTGGGTGTTTTCTATATATAATATGTATGTATTTACAAAAAAAAATATCTATGTATTTGTATCAGTTATCTAGTACCCATAACACAAGCTTTAGCTAGCTTAACTTGGGTCTAGATGGCGCTGTGTGAATTGTCCTGAGATTATTATTATATATTATTATTATTATTATTTTTACGGATGATAATGGAATCTTGCCAGCGTAAACCGCCAGCACAGGCACCCGCCGGGGCACCAGTGGAGCGTAATAAAAATTAGCATGAAAGTCAGGCCAGTTACCTCATATTGTACACCACCAAGGTATATATATGTATTAAATATATTATATATTATATATATGTATTAAAAAAAAAACATAACAGACGATTGCTTTAAACTCGCCCCAATACGGATATGTTAATATCTCTACTAATTAAAGCTTGATAAAACAATCTCTGTCACAGCAATCTGCAAATCTCGCTCTATCGTTTATTTCTTCACCGACCCATGCAACAATAACATATCCTATTGCAAATTTTGTCAAACGTTGTTGGTTGTTTACGTCTCGCTTTGGGTGTGAGTAACAAACACCTAATATCGGTAAAGAACATTAGGCTTACATCAATTAATCTTTTATTAACACTTACCCCCTTTTTCTTCTGTGTGTTCTTCATCTTTGACTTCGGAGTCCTTGTCCTTATTTGGCTCTATCGTAGGCTGTGAGTGCCGTCGAGTCTCCTCTAGAACTCGCTGGAATGAGAACAACAATGATTCTCCGGTGCCGTAGAAATGTTCGGACGGGTGTAGAGCGCACGATGTCAAAGCTCCAAACACCTGAAAGAACAAAGACAATAAATAAACCACAAATATATCACATGGTAAAACCTTCATAAAGCTAACTAAAGCTCTGTCTTATAGCACAATCCAAATTGAATCTTCCAGCTAGAACAGATTAACCAAAGAAATAATGTAAATTTTTTAATAAATTTAAAAATTGCCTGTAATTTTATTCGCAATTTTGCATTTTTGCGCACCTTCGGCCGCTTTGACCTCTCGTAGGATAGACGTAATCTGACATAAAAGGGACGTTTATAGCAATATGTTTGTTCCTAGTCTAGTATAAAATATAACTTCAGTTTCCTGTTAAGATAGGCATTATTAACTATCCTAATTGTGCCTGAAGATAGAAATAGGATGTCACTTGGAACATGTAACATGCTTGGTTTCGTTGCGGTATTTGAAAAATTCAAGTGACGTAATATCTGATAATATTACGATGACCTTACCTGGCCTTGCCAAGCACACACTAAAAAACACTACAAGTAAATAAAAACTTACATTGTTGTCTGTGTCCTGTATGACGAGTAGAACCGGGGTGTCTACCCGTTGCATTTTCCGGTACATAGACGCGAGCGAGAATCCATGCTGGCTGGTACTAAAGGCCAGCGACCACATGTAGCCTTGAGCACGCGCAGGTAACACGGTGCATATCTTCTCTCTGAAATTAATAGTATGAAAAGTAAAGTTTTGTGTCGTATACCACTTAGATGTTGTTCTCATTAAGTAAACCCCGGTTTACTTGCTATTTCTAAGTCTGGGAGCTTTTGTAGTTACTAGGCAGATAACTGCTGTTAAAGTAAACAAATGTTCTTAGAACATTCTAATGATTTAATTACGGACTATCTGTGTATCAAATACATTTCGCCATTTAAGCGTAATTGAATAACAAACATCTAAACATTTGTATGGCGAAAGATGTAACTGTAGCCGACTACTTTACATTGTTGTTTCAGGGAATTTGCTCATTGTTTTTACATTCTATATGTAATTACATAAGTCTATCTCACAACGACCATCAGTGAACGCTGTTGTGACTATATAACGTGTAAGCATGTTGATCACATTAAACATACTTGATGAAAATTCACAAATTTTATGCAGAGTTTGATAATCTATTGAAATCTAAATACTTAGTCATATTAGAAGTGTGTTTAAAGAAGTATTAATTTGTATTAATACTGTACCTGTGTTCCATTGTGAATATTTCGGATGTGCCAATGAGGTCGGGTGGGGAGAACTCCATATCAACGGAGGCGCCCGATGAGTACAACGCCCGGCGAAGCTCATCGCTCATTGACAATACCTACACGCACAAAACAACCACATCAGTATAGTATCTTTTTGACCTGCGTTCAAACACAACCATTCCGCCCAAACTCGGATTGATAGGTTACCTACTGTTTAAAACTGGCTATACAAAATTCTGTACGGGTGCGATATTCTATAAATTCTCCGTGTAGGCATCTTTGGTTTTTCAATTTACATGCAACCGGCATAAATCATGCAAAAACAGTTGTACATCTGTATTGAACAGTCATTTATATGCGACGGATATAGGGTAGAGCAGGAATATGCAATACCATGCTCGGAATATTATAATTTAATGAATTTGTGAACGAACATGGTGAGGAATAAATTAAAATCGATGATAACGTGATGGAAATGATGTTATGATAGATATGAAACAATCAGGATGCACTAAATGCTATGATAGCCAGGGATGCCAACCGTTCGAGGATCTTCGTACAAATATGATATTTTCACTTATGTCAATAGGTCATAGAGAGTCAAATTGAGCTAATTACGCGAGATTGTATTTTTTTTGTGCTAGTTTATGGTTGGCAAGCCTGATGATAACATTCCTGAACACTACAGTTCACATTCAACATTCAGGGTGATCGTTGCGTGCGTGTGCGCATAACTCTAAACACTAAAGATGAAAATTTAGGGTGAGTTAGGTATTTTGCATATTACAAATACGGATATTCAGTGCTTACTATTTCTCTCCATCCGTCAATGAAATAACTTCCTAATTAAAGTATGATTAAAGATAATTACAATAATGTATTACTACAATCATAATTTCGAATAGCATTCACTCAATAATTTATCAAAGTTGGTATGTACATTCATCTTGACATTTGCATTGTCTTTTAAGTCAAAAACAACGTTCAAATAATTCATTAAAACGTTATTTTAACAGAGGTTACAATGGCCGAATACCTACTGGCAGGTATGGATTCACAGGTAATCAACAACTTTACAACAATACCTAGCCTTCTAAAATAGGTAGCATTGATAGCATATTCATTTCTCGCTAGGTAATGTATACATCGTATATAACTATCTAAAGAACAATATTTATAAAAACACAATCTAATAAATAAATATCTGTACCTTCCTATGTAAGTAAGTAGTAGAATATATATTCAATATTAGTAGACTAATTAATAATGACCTAGCGTTCTTAATTAATACCTAAAAAAGTTCTAGCTAATTTTCAGTCAGTTGCTAGTAAGAGGAAGTTCTCAGTCGACACATTTTTTTACATACTTTAGCAAAGATATCACGTAACGTGATCTTTGCTAAAACTAAACAGATATAGTAACACAGTAGATATAGATATACGAATTATATTAATATGTAATTAGTATTATTAATTTATTGGTGTTTACTCGCGTTTCGATCCTATATGTAATATTTTACATGAGCGATAATCGGTTTCTTAGTTTTGTGTAAGGAGTATGAATATAAGGTTCAGACTTCTCTCGTTGCACACGTCCTTAGTACGGATTAAAACACAGGCAAATAATGACTTTTTATAAATACAAAATATACCTACATAGAAAATACCCAGATCAATTTCAACGATCATATATCTTGAATACAATTGTTTATACCGTAGAATCGAATTTGAAACTATCGGAAGCGAAGTGGACTGCTTAACCACTAAACCATAGAGATCGTCAATATTGCATGAGCTACGACGATAACGATATGGATAACGTGGCCTAATGTAGATAGTGCCTGTTGATTTTGCAATACAATAAGTAAGTACCTACACACATTTAATCGATCGGTGTAGGAAGTGTTAAAGGTATGGTTAATCAAGTACTACGTCCCTAGTATGATGAGGTTGGCAATTATTACATTAGAATAACTTAATATTACAATACTTTAACATAGTTATATTTTATACTACCACCACGACAAGAACTAGATTTCAAAACTTGGCTCATACTCTTTTATACTGAATATTGATTATCTTTTAAGATATTTTTTATTAAGGTCTATAACTAACATAAAAAAATTACAGGAATCTTTGCTAAAATCAAACATATATTATGTACAAGATTACACAATGCAGTGTCTAATATAAGATTCAAGATTTCGATAAAATGCAAGTACTTTTTTGTCAAACACTAAAATATTGTTTGAGATTAACTAGGTCAAAATTTACTAATGTATTAATTGTAAGAAAAATTTAACACAAGTCAATATTATAAAGGATCTTGACCTCACACGTCATCTTATTAGTTATATCTGTGCCTTCTAATATGTTTAGTTAAAATACTTATACATAAAAATTTATTATGTTAACGTCTACCTGCATGGCAGCATTAAGTCTAAGAGGAAGGTCAAATATAATCACTGCTACTACCAGTTTATTATAATTTAGCTTTGTATAGACATTTTGAAACGCTATTGTCTTAATTTAATCCGAAAAATATTTTTGACACTAATGAAATAACAACAACCAATGTACATTCAGCTTTAAACTCAATATTAGGAGATCAACAAATATTCAACTAAATAAATATGATATGAACCAGTGACGACTTCATACAAAATCATCAGCAGTTGTGTTGTGCAATTTATTGTTAGTTTGAAAATAATTACCCATTTAATTTCAATTATTTATAAATTATTATTAGTTGAATTATTTAATTTATTTATTACTCATATTTCATTAACTTTAGCATACCTACTGATATTGTGATGGCGAAACAGATATAGCCAATATTTATTCCACTCAATCAATATATCATCTAGAAGAATATTTTGATGCATAAAGACCCCACTTTAATGCATTGCTATTGTGGTATAGTGATGCAAATCAGCACGTTCAGTAAAAGATTGTGCGAGTGTACGTTTTGACGTAACGCAGTACCTCATATATATAGTTTATGTAATTAGTGTTAGAGTATTCAAGATGTAACAGTTAAATATACAAGTTACAGTTGTGTGTGTGTTTACTCTTTGTCATCACATGGCGAGTGACAAAGAAGCTGCATAAATGGATCAAGATCAGACTATACTCTGAAGATCTTCGGGCAGCAAAGAGGTATAAGTTATTTATCCTCAATATATTGTACGGTGGAAATTAATGTTCCTAGGCCATCGGTGTCCAATATCCTCAAATTGAGGTTCACCGCATACCTGTGCCTAAAATTTGAAGCATCCATAGATGGAAGTATGAAGATTGAATAAAAGGGTGCTAGCGGTCTACAAATGTTGTAGTGATTATCAAACGTGATTAGTGTCATTTCTGAAGACAATATTTGGTGCAGTGAAAATATAATTAAGGACAACCATTTTGAACGACTTCTGTGACACTTACACAATGAAAGAATTTTATATTAGTCTGTATATTTTAAAAATGGCCGCATTTGATTTAAAAACAGCTTTATTACTATTACCTATAGTGAATCGGGATGAGAAAATTATAAAAAGCCTTTTAGACGGCATTGAATTTTACAAAACCATCCTCAGGCCTGATGACCACCCCTTACTAATAAATTTTATATTAAAGACGAGACTTTCTAGTTGTGCCAAATTAAAATTAAAATCAAACTACGATAATATTAATAATTTAACGGAGGATATAAGAAAAATTTTATTACCAAGTAAATCGTATACAATTTTAACGCAACTACAAAAATGTAGACAGGGTAACAGAACAATTTTAGAGTTTGGGGATGAAATTGAAAGGTTGTTTGTTGAATTAACAATTGCCCAAGCGGGGGGTTTGAACACCGCGTATGATATTCTATTGCCCATAAATGAAAATATTGCAATTAGGCAATTTGCATACGGGCTAAACGATAGTAGGTTGACAATGTATATAATATTAGAAATATATATTTACAAGAAGCTGTCAGATCAGCAATAGAAGAGGAGGAATTCATTTAAGAACTTCCAAACGTGTTTAATAAATAAAATAAATTATGACGCACGAGAATTTATAGAACAAATCAATGTCAAGTGAAGCGTAATAATACTAAGGCGCGTAGTCAGCAAAATACAAAAATGCATAGTAAGAAGGTCGCGCAGTTTGTTATATATATGAATTTCAAAGCGTCAGCTGATAGTATAGCGATAGAAAGACATCGTTAGATTTTGGTCTTGGAAATAAGAATACCGAAATTTTAGCTTTTAACACAAATAATGTAGTTAAATTTAATTGTTTTAATAATGATATAATTTTGATAGCAGACTCAGGAGCGTCAATGTCAGTTTTAAAGTATGATTGGTTAAAAAATTTGCCTTCAATTAAGATCCATAAAGATAACGCTATAATAAAAGTAATCTAGAGGCAATGGGATTTGTAAATCAGAAACTGCAATTTGACAAAAGTTTTATGTATTTAAAGAATACATTTCCCATGGTATATTAGGAGAAGATTTTTTAATACAATTTAAAGGTATTATAAATTTTGAATTGGGCTGTTTAAGTGTAAAGCCCCACGGATCACTTGATAGGGTCCGAATACCTTTTCAAAAAAGAGAAAATGGTATAAAATATGTTAATTTTCCTAATAAAAGGAAAACTGATTATATTGTTGAAAATGGAACAACGGACCAATTATCGAAAATAATTGTAACGTCCGATAAGTTAAAAAAATTAAACTCATGCTGTTCAAGCGTTATTACGCAAGGTCCAATTAAGAAAGTTAATAAATGTTCTCATGTTTATAGATGGCAGAAATTTACAAAATCACAGTTTCGTGTGAAATTAAATATTTGTAATAAGGAGACATTAGGAAAAGTGTTAGGTATAAAATATGATACAATGTAATCTGGAATAATATATTTAATCAAACATCTCTATTAACAAAGGTGGGCGTAGATAAATCATTAAGAGAACTTGTGATATGCAAGGATCATAATATTATCGAAGTTATAATTATTAAAACTATGTACAATAAGTCTCAAGTGAATAAGTTCTGTCGGTATATACAGAAGTTGAAGTTTTTACGATATTAATTGTAAAATGTATAGATAAGTATAGTAAGTCAATAAT